AGTTGGACCTCCCCTCGACAGCATGCCAGGGCGTACATGGCTGGCTACATGGCTGGCTTGTCTGCATCCGTAGCTTGAGAATCTCAGAAGAACAGCACAGCACCAAATCAATCCTAATCAGACCCTGCCATCTTCTGGATTTTGAACTACCGGCGCCGGAGTTAAATCGACTCGATGCCGGTATCTGCAAATCTGCGCAACCCGTGCGGCCTAACTTGGCACAAGCGCAGGTGTTGCAACCAATGCTATCCAGTACCATCATGATCCGCCTGACTGAGCTATGTAGGGCAAGAGCACGCAGGCCACATTGTCCTCCTTGGGCCTAAAGGGCCTTCGGTGACGATCCTATGAAGCCCAACCAGCAACAACTTCAACTCCAACTTGCTAGGGGGCACATGCTGGGTTCTAAGAGCCCGGGCTTAGGGTTTCACATCGTTTCGCAGGCCCTAAGAAAAAACTGAGAACCTTGTGCTAGGAGGAAGACCTGGTTTCAGGGATGTGGGGGGTGCTAGTGCACGGTGCTAGTGTGGAGGTCCTCTTGATCATATCAAAGACCAAGAAATTTTGAGACGCATCTGTACGTGTATACAGTTCGCATATGCTATATCAGGTCCTCCTCCACCCGAGCCCCGGCTGCCCTGGCCTAGCCCGGCGCCCTTTGTCTGAGCTACTCAGGGTCCACCCGGAAGTTGCCCGGCGCCTCCACGATCATACCCACGTTCCCCCAGTCAGCCGTGGCAGAACGAGGACACCTCCTAGCCCAAGGTGTTCTGCTAGAGCCCCCTCTCTCACGCCCCTGAAAACAAATCAAGGTTCTGTGCTTTGTTTTCTTGTAGCCTTCTCCAAGACGAGCTCGGGGTAGTGCCACCCAACTCGGCCAGGCGGCGCAAGAGTTTCAAGCATCGTCGACTTCAGGGCAAGTTTGGGGTCATGGGTGCTTGGGCTTAAGTGACTCCGGAGTGACTCAGGTGGCTCGTGCTTCTAGCATCAATTTCTCTGCAGCTCTGCGATCTTCACAGGCAATCTGAATCAACTCTTCACTCTGGGTGATACTTCTGCTACTAATAGTAGTACTATGTCTCTATGTACAGTTGCGAGTATGTACAAGCTGCCCGGGGCCAAGCCGTCGGCGCAGGGCTCAGAGATGGCTTGTCTTTCCTGCGACGCCTCGCTCTGCATGTTGGAGCTCCTGCTGTCAAGGCAGCTCTTCATGCAGAAAGCCCTGTGAACTTGAGGTGAATCGTGAGCTCTTTGCATCTTGCTCTGGGAGGTCGTCACATTCTTTCGAGCTCAAGGGACATCATCGCTTTTCAAAACAGCACATGAATTTACGTAGAAGGTGCCGAACAGCTCGGTGCGCCTGCAGCAGAAGCTGCCAGACATGCTCAACCATCTCATCCGCCAAAGAGTTCACGACTGCGGCCACGTCCTTCAGCGCACGCGGCAAACGGCCACCAAGCATCCAAGCAAATCCGATCTTATCGTGGGATGACGACTCTCTTTCGGGCCTCAGAGGCCTCAGGGGCCGCAGTGGCACATGAGGCACCATGACCTTCCAAGGTTAGTTGGGCCCCAAACTTCCGCCATTGTGCCCTGTACATCCCTGAAGCTGCCCAAACACTTTAGGTCACTAGTTTGGGAGGCAAAAGGGATTAATAAGGATCTGGAGGCCAGTTAGGTTGGGGCGGGTTTGGAGTGGGGCGTGGAAGCAGGATGCCAACCACGACAGCAAGAAATTGGGGATTCTGCTCGGGGTGGGGCGGCAGGGGGGGGGGGGGTGTGAGGAGGGTGCAACCGGGGCACTTCTTGGCCAGTTGTTTTGTGCCGATTGTACCTTTGCCTTGGCCATCCGATTGTACCTTTGCCTTGGCCATGCATGAATGTTGGCCCTGAGGGGGCTGAATCATTTCTGACCCAGCATGTTCGAGCCGGTGGACCACTTTCAAGTAGAACGTCACGAGCTGCAACCCTGCACCCTAAACCCTCAACCGCCGGGTGCTATGCACGTCACGGCTGCTTCTGGTAGAACGCCGAAGCAACGCAAAGTGCGGGACCGCCGGCCTTCCATTTGAGCGACCTGCTGTTCCAAGTCCTGCGAAGCGCCCGAGATATTTTACGGACGGTGGGGGGGGCTTCAGGGCTTGCGTTTCATTGCAGTCGTGGTTTGACGTTAAGACTTTAATCGCTGAGCTGAGCCACCTTCAGCATCTCGTCCAGCGCCACTCCATCATGCTGCGCCTGACATCGGAATCTGAATGATGGGCTGTCTGAGCTGACCCTGAACCCAAAGCCCATCTGAACCCATCTGAACCCATCTGAACGCAATCTGAACCCATCTGGACCCATCCCAGCCTGGACCAACTCCTCCGTCGGAATCTGCGTGGGGCCTTGCTCCTCGCCGACTGTTGGGTTTTGCAGGGATGTAAAAAGCTAAGCTGTCACTTCTTCAAGTCTTGCGGCATATTCTGATCCGCTGCTCTGTAACACCCTCTTGCCCCATCCCAGTGGCCCCGACACCATAATAGTAATCATGAAATACTCAAGAAATGCAATATTAATACAAGTTTTATCCGCCGACCCCAGCGGTAGCAGGGCGGCGTCAGTGAAGACCCCCCACCGCCCTCACCGCCCTCACCCGCTCTCACAGCATGCTGCTCATGACACCTTGAATTGGAGTGTTTTTGCATTGTTTGGCTTCAGTGCATGCCCAAACCCCGCCACCCATCGCCCTCACCCATGACGCCTTGAATTGGACCTTTGACTCCCCCCCACCCCATCCATTCAGGCGGTTTAAAGGGTCCAGCGCATTCCCGACCACCCCCCCCACCCCCCCACGCCCCCCACCTGGGCCCCCCCCCCCCCTCCCCAGCCCACCCCACCATCCACCCCCCACCCCCCCCCCCCTCCCCACCCCCCCCCGCCTCCCACCCCACACCCCCACCACACCCACCCCCCCACCCCCACCCGCCACCCCACCCCCCGCCAACCCCCCACCCCACCCCCATCCCACCCCCCCCCCCAAACCCCCACCCCCCCCACCCCCCCTCCCACCCCCCCCCACCACCCCTCCCCTCCTGTATGCCCCAGTCCCCACCCCCCCCCCCCCCCCCACCCCCCCACCCCCTACCCATCCCCATTCCCCCCCCCCCCCCCACTCCCCCCCCCCCCCCCCACCCCCCCACCCCCCTGGCCCCCCCCCACCCTGTAGGCCTCGCCCTTTCTCCCGCCCCTGACCAATCTGTAGTGTTTCAAGGATCCAATCCATGCCGCCTGACCCGCCCTTCACCGTCTCACCGCTCTCCACTCCCCCCCCCTTTGCCCTCAACCCCCCACCCTCGACTCTGAAACCCCACCCCCCCCCACCCCCCCCATCCCTTCCCTCCTAGGCCCCTACCCCCTACTCCGCCCCTGACAAATCTCTAGTTTGAGGGATTCCAATCCACGCCCGCCCTAACCGCCTCCCCGCTCTCATCACTCCCCTGCCTTCCGCCCCCAACTCCACCAACCCTCGACCGTCACCTCCCCTGTCCACCCGCCGCGCTCCACCCTGCCTTCCGCCCCAACCCTCTCACCAGAGCTGGTCAAATGAGTCAGGCCCCCCTTTCCGCCAGCCGCCCCCACCCTCTCCCACTCCCACTCCCTAACCCTCCCACCAACCCTCCCCAGCCCTCATCATTACCCCCTCCCACCATCGTGCACCATCCGACAGCCCCCGCTCTCACTCTCATCGCTTCTTCATCTCTATGCCCCCCAGTCCACCCCTGCCTTCCGCCCCCAACTCCCTAATCCGACACCAACCCTCTACCATCACCCCCCACACCCCCCACCCCCGCCGCCCCCCTTTCCACCCCCACCCACCCCCACCCACCCCCACCCCCCCCGCCCCCGCCCCCCCCGCCTGCCCGCGCTCCACCCTGCCTTCCGCCCCAATGCGACTGTCTTGGGTCTGGGGTCGGCGGCACTGGCGTATACGAATCTAATGATATGGTATTTACTGTTGGACCTGCCGCCCCCCCCCCCCCCCCCGAACAGTCGAAGCTGTTTTTTTCCTCTCTTCAAATGGTCCACGTGTTTTATAGGATTGCAAAAGCGATGAGTTTGTATGAGTTTAAAAGGCACAGCGAAGCCCGGCAATTGATTGTAAAGCGCCCCACCCCATTTTTTCTCACGACACCCGGACGATTTGACTTAATTCGGACCCCACTCTGGACCCCCAAACAGTCACAGAGTCCTGAATACTCCGGCAACCTTGACTTCAAAGAGGGGGGCCCTATTAATGCGCAATGCAAAAGCACCTGCTCCTTTTCCGCGATCAGGGCTCTCAAGGCCTGCGCGAAGTGGAGAGCCATGAGCCCCCCAAGCAATCTTTTTCTGTAGAACCATGCCTTGACTTCTTCTGTGAGATCAGATGTGTCGTTGCTTCTGAGGCCTTGAGCCCTGGCCCCTGAGACTGGAGCACGGCCAGATCACAGAAACAAGCAGTTCGCATCCGAAGCTGGCCAGGCCTCCTTCTTCTTCTCGAGGCGATCCTCTTTCGGAGTGCGGGCTCAAAGCTTAGGGCTTCGGTAGGCATGGTTTGGGCTTCGAGTTTGTGACGCTAGAGCGACCTAAAGTGACCCACCGCCTGTGAAGCCGTACCCTTTTTTGTTGAAAGTAGAAATGCTAATTCTTGCTGCTTAAAAACACGGCTGATTTTGAGGGTGTCGCTACGAAACGTTTGGCTTTTGCAAGTGTTGTTGGGTCATTTCGTTGGTTGGGAGCTCAGCGTGGTGCACTTGGACAACTTGGTTGGGGTGCATCTTCCAGGTATCGGCTTGGCGGGGTCAGAGCTTTGCAACGGCTTTGCCAAGGAAATCTTTGCCTCTGAGCTCATGCCCCTGAAAACATCTAAGCCTTGCGGGTGCGTAGCAAGTGAGCAACGGTAACCCTCTGTGAGGCAAAGGGTAAGTCTACCCCAAAACCGACAACGCAATAAGAGCACATGCACATGGTCTTCAAGAGAGCATGGCGGGAAAGAAGCTGTGCTGGGTTCGGGGTGGAGGGCGTCGTGTTTTGGTTTTGGGACCGGGGTTGACAGTTTGAAGGGTTTAGGATTACAAAGTTCTGGGGTTTAGGGTATACGGCACACGGCTTAGGAGATGCTTTGAGCGTCGGTCGGGGGTTTTGGGCGTACAGTTTACGAGTGTTAGCTTCTGCCCTGGACTGCACTGCTCTGGAAGTTTTAATAACACGGCTTTGGATGGCACTGCTTTAGGCCGCAGGTTCAGGGGTTTTGGGCGAACGCTTTAAGAGTTTTGGGTTCGGGCCCGGGCAAGACCCACTCAAGCTAAACCATGTTCTGAACCCCCTCTCCTCCAATGTTTTCGGTCAACAGTGATGGAACCAACCTCCCTACCCCCCACCCCTACCTTCCCCCCAACCCCCCCCGCCGCCCTCAACCCCGCCCCCTCCCAACCCCCCCAGAAAACGAAGCAAAACCAGGTGCGGTTTTGCCGCTGCTTGATACGATGAGGAGCCTCCAACGCCACCAGCTCAGACAGGTCTTTCGAAGTGGCCTCCGCCAAAGAGCTGACGAGTCCGACGATCATTTTGGACTCGCTGTCGTTTAGGGCTTTGGGTTTTGAAGCTCGGGCTTTGTTCACTTCTGTAGCCGGACGTGACGGCCACCTCCTCAAAATGTACCACGCACTCCAAAGCTAGAGAAGTCTGCAGACTGCGAAGGCATGTCAGGATTGGTTTGATTGATACTGGCTTCTACCTTGCTAGGCTTCCTACGAGTACTGAAAGAGCCAGGAGTCTGGAGACTGCAGGCGAGTGCTTTCTAGGATGTTTCGGCCTCTGCTTCTTGGATCATGTCGGGCAAAAGTGCCTGGAGCGCGCCAATCCGAGTCCTCGGGCATCTTGGGCATGGGAGAGGGGGGATGGTAAGCGCACTGTCCCAAGACGGAAGAAAAGCCTTGGACCTTAGAATTCCATCAGCCTTCTCTCTGGGGCATCGGTTGCTTCTTCAGGGTCGCTGTCCGACCCTTGCCCTCTTTTACATCGCTTCGCTGTTTAGAGGGGCTTCTCATCGAGGCGTACCGTGCAAGTCCGGGGGCCGAACTGCACTTCTCTCAGCCCGTCGTCAACAACCTGCCTCAGTAGACACAATGGGCGCGGGAATGCTCTTCTCTTCCCAAGGTGTCGCAAAGGTGCAGACCCATTGAGAAGCAGCCGAGAATAAACCTCGGCACGTGGCGCGTCTGCCGGAATTCTACTGGTCGCCTGTGTGGCGTGCATTGCGCGCCTTGTTCTGCTGGTGGTTGAATGCGAGGATCGGTAGCGTCTTGACATTTGAAGCGTGCTTGAAGACGCTAAGGATGAAATCTTCTACACCTGTACACCGCCATGGTGTCGTAAGAAGCGTTGTGACAGTTCCCTTATAAGCCTTTACAGTGGCTGCGTGGCTAAGCCGTCTGCAGACAGGACCGAAGAGCGCCATCTCATGGTAAGCAGACTTGAGAACCTGAGGTCGAAGACGCTGCACGGCGAACGCGCAACATTCTGTGAAGCTGAGGCGTTGTCCTCCATGGTGACTCCCTGAATTGCGGCGCAAGAGATCTGAACTTTGACATGGGTCAGGTGGTTCTTGGGTTTTTAGGGTGCAGGGTAGCCAGGGCCTACAGAAGTTCGACCCAAGTTCCGGTGTCTTGCTTGCCTTGTCATGAAGGCTACAGCGATACTTCGAGAGCTCCTCAATCTCGCTGTCGTCCAACTCCTCCTTTCTGGGATCCGGGGTGTTGATGGTTTACCATTGGCCTCCCGACTACCCCCCTCTATACTACGCCCCTAGGTTCCCCCGCCTTCTTGACCGTAATTATCCCTCAACAGCCTTCATTATGGGGTGAACCTGGGGGGGGGGGGGGGGGGAGGGCAGTATCCTTATTGGGCTTGCAGTACTAATCCCTAAACAGCCTTGATTATGGGGGGAACCAAACCCTAAACCCTGTACCCTGTACCCTGTAGTATAGAGAGGGGGGGGTTAGTATAACCCTAAACCCTAAACCCTAAACCCTAAACCCTAAACCCTAAACCCTAGGGGGGGTGTAGTATAGAGGGTGGTGGTCGGGGAACCGGTTTACGAGCCTGGCCTCGCCCATCTGCTCCACACGCTCCTGCCATGCGTCCAGGCTGAGCTCCTGGGAAGGCAATACAGGGCACTTAGTGCTTTCTTACTATTCTCCTATCTCTTTGTCCTTTTCTGAAGAAAAATATTCTGGCTGTTCTCATGGTCTTTCGCACGAACATGATTCTGATTCTTCTTCCTTTCTCATATTCATCTTGCTCTTGCTCTTGCTGCTGCCGTTGCTGCCGCTATTCCCCCCTAGACCCTATAAACCCTATAAACCCTATAAACCCTATAAACCCTATAAACCCTATAAACCCTATAAACCCTATAAACCCTATAAACCCTATAAACCCTATAAACCCTATAAACCCTATAAACCCTATAAACCTTATAAACCCTATAAACCCTATAAACCCTATAAACCCTATAAACCCTAAACCCTAAACCCGGAACCCTAAACCCACAACCCTAAACCGCCGGCGCTCCTTGGTTGCATCGTCATGCTCGGGGCCGCCAGCAGCGCCTTCTCCGGGCTTCGCCACCAGCAGCTCGTTCAGCTCCTCCTTGACCTTCTCGGTGTCAGCCACCGCCGTGTCGTCCTGGAGCCGAGACTGTGGCGAAACCCTGAGCCCTAAACCCCAAACCCCAAACCCCAAACCCTAAACCCTAAACCCTAAAGCCCAACCGACCCGGCGGTCCAGCGGCACAGCCAAGGTGCTACGGATGTCGTTCCAATCTATGTTGTCAGCAGGTCCGTGGCCTTAGGCCGCAAAACGAGTTGCCTTCTAACATCAAGAGCTTGGCTGCTGAGTTCATTAACCCCCCAAAAAAGTGCACACGTTCGGTTCTACAAGGGAATCTTGTAGTATCCCAAAAAGTGTAGAGCGTACTCGTTCAGCTACTAAGAGAGCCGAGATGCACCTGCGATCTCTTGCTGCATCTTGAGTTGAAGTCAGTATCTCTATGTTTAATAGCCCTAAGTGTAAACCTTAGCAGGAAACACCAAGTGTGACCTTACACGGCACTGAAAAGGTTTGTAAATATGAATATCTGTCAAATTGCGATCTGGCTGATTTTTCGTTTTATTGCAAATCAGACCATGTTCCTTGAAAACAAACACTTGCAAACACAGAGCATATCCTACATTACCAATATATGTAGAGTATGCACACAAGTAAAGCAGTTACATATACAGTCAGCCCAGTCATAATGAAGTGCTGATTGAACTTATCGAACGTGGGAGAGTTTTTGGATGCAGTACAACGAAGCGACAGCAGGAGACGCGTACACACTTACAGTTACATGGCTAAAACACATGTAAGGAAACAGAGTAGACCATGTCAGGTGCATGGGCGCGCTGCACGCGCTGTCCTTCCTTGCTGACTTGTCAGCATTTTTACGAAGCATGTCACCGCAGAAGCAGTAATAAAGAAGCAAACGCCTATTTCAGGAGTCTTTTGGGGAGCCGGACCCTAGGGTGAGAGTCTATTGTGTTTTCCTTCTTCCTTCGTTTCGTTTCTTTCCTTTCTCCATTCCCTTCATTCGTTCTGCCTTCATTCGCGTATTCTCTATCATGTTGTCTTCCAGAAAGGACTCCACCTACCACAAATGAAAAACACAAAGCAAAGAAGTCCGTAAACAGGGATCAGGGCTTACTGTTGAAAACCACAGCAAATGTGTCTGAGCCGAGCACCTGCAGCTCGGAAAGCCTGTCACAGCTGCGGCACAGAGTCTCAAAATGTCTCGGAGGAAGCTGAAGGGTGGCACTCTTCCTTTTGCTGCAAGCTCTGCTTGTTGCTTTGGCCTTGTCCAGACTTCCAACCTCGGTGCCGAGGTATCTACGCCGTTCGGGAGCAGCTGATACAGTTTGGCTATGGCCCTAAACAGCCTTGATTGTGGGGGGGGAACCTAGGGGGTGGTAGTAGCCCTAAAACCTAAACTGTGGGTTCGCAGCGTACCTTCAGACCAGTCATCCTTTCTTTGAGGAATCGGCGATGAGCTTGTTCCTGCGAAAGCTCACAGAGCCGCCATCGATTTCCGCGTCGCCTGACAGTGTGGCACTCGAAGCCCTAAGACGAATTGGAACCAGGAGGTTGCGTGCCTTTGATGATGATCAGCTGGGTGGCCAAGACTCCACAGATGATACCGGCAAGGCCTGGAACAGGACTCGCTCGACTGGACCAAATCTACATATATATATATATATAAGTATTACTATTCTTATCATTATTACTGTTATTATGACTATTATTATGATTATTATATATATATATATATATACTCAAGCTACTGGGTGGGGCACTAAGGCCCATCAGGAGGACAAAGAAGAGCACCTCATTGTACCGGACAAAGCGGCTCGCAGGCTGCTTCTTTCGAACATCTCAGCTTCAAGCCGTACCCAGGAAGAGGGCAATCTGCAGCCTGCGCAGCCCAAACAAATCGGAATGCCATCCACACGATTGAAGGCTCCACACACCTAACAATGTGCCTTGGGGAGCAACGGAGCAACTGCACATCCCTTTGAGACCCGTGAGAGCTCCCCGGGCTCCAGGTGCACGCCACGCACAGCACCCCCCACACAACCCCTACGCACCGCTGCGCCAAAGGCACCAGTGCCCAAACAGCAGTTGGATCTGGTCAAGCTTGCGAGCTTCGGATTTTAACTTGGCAGAGAGGGACGCCCATGCAAGTCATGGTTCGAGATGAGTCGTAGTGAAAGCTGCGTGAAGCTTTCTTGGGTGCGTTTGCATGATGGTTTCTGATCCTTAGCACATCAAAGTCCCATCCACTCTTCTGCCCCCCGCCCCTGAAGCACCGCAAAGAGCAAGCTAAGTATGTAGATCCCAGATCCCAATCCCAGATCCCAGATCCCAGATCCTAAACCCCAAACCCTTAGCAGGCCTCTCATGTCCGGACTCTGCAAAGAGCTCGATGCAGAGGTAGCCGAGGTCATTGGATCCAGCGATGGCCTCGGCCATCTCTTCCACGCTGTGAGCCCAAAAACACGATCATACTAGTAATATGGCAATCTGATATCGCAATAATAGCTAGATATTCATATAATAAAATATGAACATGTAGTAGTACAATAGCCCCCCGCAACCTCTGCAGGTCCTGAAGCCTTAGATTATTACTATTGCGATGTGAGACTACTACATTCCTAACATGATCGTATTATTGTACTAGTGTACTACTACATCTCTATATGCTTAGTACATTCGTATATTGCTATATGTTTGGCGTCATTGCGGGAAAGTTCTGAGCTGAAGTCCCGAGTTTCGGGCTCCCATGAGTGTGGCCGTGGCGTCGAACACCGTCCCAAACTTGTCAAGTACTTTTATCCTGGCACATTGGGATGTTCCCCCTTATACTAACAGTCCTTGATAGGGAAGAAAGTACCCCCGATTATAATCCTTATTGAGGGCTGTTCGTATAAGGGGGAACATCCCAACTGGCACATACATCCTGCGACTTAACGTGTTTCAAGAGTTAGGTGCTTAGGGGTTTCATTAGGGGGTGGACCTTTTGCACCTTCAGGAGGTTTAAGCAACTTGAAAATGAAACTGGTTTAGGGCACTCAGCCGTTTCGCTGTCTGCCATGGCCAAAGTGCCAGTTGTACTTGACCTCGTCCGTTTCAATCTCGTCCAACAAGCCAGGAACCTGCGTTGCTATTCCTCGATCCCTCTCACATACAGTATTGAGAAGCAAGCGTTCCTGCAAGAATTGCTCACGCCATCATACAACAAAGCAGCAATGCAAACCCATCTGCCCGCGGCCTGAAGAGTCACGATCACTGAGGAAAGCATAAACACGATGCTTGTCAAGACCTTGGTGCGCATGTTTGCCTTCTTCATCAGCCCGAACCCTACATTCCCTCCCTAAGCCCCCTACCCGTAGGATAAGGGTTTCTTCACGGATGCCGAATATCGTCCTATGATGATGATAGTCATGCAGTCCGGGGTAGCGAAACAGCCTCGTGTGCATGCCTCTTTCAGTCTCACACTGCTCTACGCCGATGAACCCATCGCCTGTTCAGCCGATCCCTAAACCCTAAACCCTAAACCCTAAACCCTAAACCCTAAACCCTAAACCCTAAACCCTATACCCTATACCCTGTACCCCAAACCCCAAACCCCAAAGCCTCAGCCCCCTTGACAAAGACCCAAGGTTGATAAGCCAAGCCAGTAAGCCAATAAGCACATCGGCTTGCCGGCTTATCGACCTCGGGTCTCTGTTTAGGCCTTAGGGTTTAGGGTTTAGGGTTCTGGTCCCTTAGCATGGGACCTTAAAAGAGGAACCCCGTATAGACTCACTATATACCCTATAAAACCCAACTGCCCATACTTCAGAACCCTTTAAAGGAGGTAAGGGACCATATTAAGGGCCCATAGAACTACCCTTAGATTAGCGGTTTCGGATTCCGGGTTTAGGGCTAGGGCCATGCGGCCGAGGGGCTTAGCGGCTTATCGTCTGCAGCGCACTTCTGAACCCAATTTCTTAGGGTCCTTGAAGGGAGGTACCCATAAAACCTCAAAAGGAGCTCTCCGGAGTGCTAGGAAGCATATTTTTGGCAACTCAACATTGCCCACCCCTTCCTCAAGGCGTTCTGAACCCACGAAAAGTCGATGATACCCATAACACCCTGAACCCCAAAACCCTCATACAAGTAACTCTCAAGGTTAAGTGCCGCGCCAGGGCAAGCAGCATCGGCTTCGCACACCTCCCGCACTTCTGGTGGTGGGGCGTTCTGCAAAATCAATGCTTCCTTTTGGGGTTTCTACGAGTATGGTATGCAGTATGTTTCGAGTACAACAAAGAGCCCGGCAATTTAGATGAACCTCAACCATGGGGATTTCCCCGAAAATAAGCAGAGTCTCCTTAAGCTGGAGTTTTTGCTTCGGGAAAGCGGCTGGAAAGATGGCACTCGTTCGTTGCGAGTACCGACATCTCATGCCTGATGAAAAGGAGAAGAGGAGGAGAAAAGAAGGAGGAGGAAAAGAGGAAGAGGAGAAGAGGAGGAGAGCAAAGAAGGAGAGAAGAAGAGCAGAGGAGAAGAGGAGGAAGAGAAGAGGAGAAGAAGAGAAGAAGAGGAGAATTAGAGGAGAAAAGGAGGAGAGGAGAAGAAGAGAGGAAGAGGAGAAGAGGGAAGAGAAGAGGAGGCGATACAAATTCCCAGACCCGCTCTCTATTTCCCGTTGCGGGGGGGCCACATGCAGCCCACGTCATCTCTCATATTTGACTTGACTTGCCTCGCTTGGAAAAGCGTCAGGCTTTCCAAGGTGTAACGCAGCTCACGCACTACAAGGCACCAACAAGCTTCTTCCGCTGGGCCAAGAGTAATTACTGATTGTAGCCATTGTACCCTAAACCCTTAACCCTAAACCCAAAACCCTAAACCTTAAACCCTAAACCCTAGACCCAGTTCGGGCCTGGCAAGGCCAGCGAGGGCTATGCTGGCTGCCGATGACCGCCGAAGGCAGCTGGACTGTCGCCACGACAATGTGACAATGACAGATTTCTTGAGGCCAGAAGTAGCTACTAGTAGCCATGACTCTGAACTGCGGGTGTGCACATCCCGGCTCAGATGAAACTTACGCCGGCGTGATCCTTGTCTGAGTGCCTGGCCACAGCGTTGCGAATGGCTCGGAGAAGCCGCAATCCTCGAAGAGGACGAATCCAAAGTAGATCTGCAGAATGCCGCTCGCTGCTTGGATTGTACTGATGCCAGCTCACAGTGACCTGCTAACACAACAAGATACGACTGTAAGGAGGACAATGAGAACAGCAAGCAAGAGCAAAGGACAAGCTTGCGTTGCGGGACTTGAGGCCAACCTTTGAGTGAAACATAGGCATGAACTGCTTTCTTGAGCGTGATCTTACTCGGGCTGCAGCTGGCCTGGGGACGAACTGGGCGCAAACGCTGTCCAGAACCTCAGCCGTGTTGTGCTTGTTCAATAAGCACGCTGCGGCCACAATAATAATAATAACAATAATAATAGTATTAATAATAATAATGCAATAGCAAAGCCATGCTGAAGGTGTCGAGACGTTCTGGGATATGGACACCTCAACGAAGGATCCGATCACAACGATGCCATCTATCACCAACATCCTGGTCACAGGCGAGGGCTTGTATTTCCGCCCGCGCACGCCACGCGCAACCAGTGCGACCCAAGTCCATGGCCAGGAATAGCCACGACCAATCTGAGCAATGCAGCGCGCCTCGGGCGACCCGAGCTGGCCGCGCACGCAAGGAAGTAAACGATTTTAGCAGATCTAGGCTTGCGGCGAGGAATTCCACTCCGAAGGTTGTGATGATGGCTGCTGACGTTCCACGCCTTGCCCCAGTCGTTTAACAGGTCGATACCATGTAAGTCTGCACAACTTCCAACCCTAAACCCTTAAACCCCTAAACCCCATCGCATCCATGCATGCTCTGTAGATCTCTTGTTGAGTTCAGTGCAGCCAAAGCTGAGCATCATCCAGGGTCCCGTCCTGTGAAGCTAGGATGGCTACCGGAAGAAGTTAGCAGCGCACCCGGCATCATCACACGTCATGACTGCTAATCTCCGATGCCTCGGACTGCCACTCTTGCTGGATGATCAGACAGGCCTTGCACAAGTCTGGTGGTGGTGCTGGTGGTGAGCGTTTGCAGCATGACTCCTCTGCAAACTCTGAGAAAGACGCTGTGTCCGCAAGAACGAGCACAGCAATCATGATGTCGAAGAAGGCGGTTTCTTTCCGAAAGCTCGCTTTCGGGTTTAGGGTTTAGGGTTTAGGGTTTAGGGTTTAGGGTTTAGGGTTTAGGGTTTAGGGCTTAGGGTTTAGGGTTTAGACTCTGTCAAGCTGATTCCATCTGCACAAGCACCGCTAAACTTTAAACCCTAAACCCCCAAACCCCTAAATCCCAATCCACACGCCTGTGATTTCTTGCATGGCAACGCGGAACCTTGGCGGCGGCTCTGATAGCAACCGGGCCACCCCCTTCCCTCCCCAGCCCTTTGCGAAGGGTGTTTTTTTTCGGAAAGCCTACAATCCGAACTGTACAAATACAACATACACTTATGTGTCTCTTTCTGTGTGTACATATATATATATATATATTTGTATTTATATGTATATTTATATTTATATTCATTTATCATTATGTCAGAGGGTCCGACTGTGAGATCTTGCGCTGCACTCGCTTGGACCTCAGGGGCATAGCGAGCGCAAATAGCTGGCAAACAGACAGCACAAGTCCGGCGCCACGTGGAACTTACTGTTGGCTAGGAGCAGGGAACGAAGGAACAGCAATACTGGCACCGATACTACCTTCAAGCCAACGCAAGAATAAAGAACAGCTGCATGCGAGTCTGAGAGGAAGGCTGCTTCATCAAGGCACGCCTGAGTACCAACAAAGAATCTGGTACCCCACAACTCCCCTATATTAACGAGAGTGGGCATGGGGGGGGGGGGTGGGCAGTGGGCGGGAAGGGGTCCTTCAAAGCCGAGACCCTTTTGTGTTGCTTTTGCACAGCACCCTGAAGCCGGGCGGGCGACTGCGCATGGCGATCCATCAAGTCCTGTCCAAAGCTGACCAACATGGTTTGTGAGCTTTGCTCTCAGACTTCTTGCAGTAAAGTCCTGCATATGCAGTTTGGCAGCCATGCCATCAACGATGCCGTAATCTTCATCAACTTCTTCCGCTCCCTGACAATTCCAGCAACCACGGTAGAGCTATGGTGACCAACAAGTTGCGTGCTCGCGAATCGTAGCTAATCCCATGGTACCCAAAAATCGAAGCACAGCAAGACCCGGAACGTTGTGAGAAACCCTTGGGCCAGAACTCATAGTAGCCCAGTAACCATATTGCAATAAGGGCACCCTCTTTTGGGTTGGCTATTTTATAAGGGAACCCATAGCCCAAAAAGAGGGTAAAGGGTACCACTGGAACCCTAAACCCTAAATCCTAGACTACCCTAAACCCTAAACCCGGAACGTTGTGAGAAACTCTTAGGCAAGAACTCGCGACAAAACTTCCCAAGACTCGCGCCACATGCGTGGATGACAGCGGGTCGCCCCCCACATCTGTCGCGGCCTGGTGCCCATTTCGGCAGAGGAGTGGGATACTACAGTACTCATGGGTTCCCTTATAGGGTTCGGGGTTTAGGGTTCAGGGTTTAGGGTTCAGGGTTTAATTAGGGGCACTACCCCCCTCTCTACTACCCCCCCTAGGTTCCCCCCCATAATGAAGGCTATCTGGGGATAATGAACTAGGGGAACCCATGAAGTACTGATGCAAACATGGGCACCAACTTTGAGAGACGCTGTTGAAGCTAGGTCCAAGTTCCATGTGAACCCTGCATGTACGACATGCGCGTGTCAGCGCTTCATGCTTGGCAGCGAAGGCATGTTGCTGCCACAAGGCTACGCCTAAGGGGAGGATATTTCCGAACTGATGGCTCTTCTTTGTTGGAGCGTCACAACCTGGCACTGCGCACTTTTAATAAACCTTGTCAGGCAAGAATGACTGGATCTACCTAATGACCTAATATAGACCCGCGATCTTGCACTCACCGGTTCGGGGCGCCTGTCTCTTGCGCTGTGGGCGGCCCGTGGTGGAAGTCATGGCAGAAAGCGAAGATGCCAAGGGCGCGTGATGACTCGCGTCTCATTGCAAGGATATCGTTCTATGCTCAGCAACCCATCTGCAATCGAGATGTTACGTTCAGACGATGGATTGGAGACAAATGACTGAACCTGCAACAATGCCATTGGAACTTGTGTAGTAGCATTTATTGTGGGATCTTGTGAGATGTGGAGTGCGGGTGTCAAACCCGTAACAGGATGTAAGCCTCATGAGTAGGACGCATTGTCGAAACCATGCAAAGAAACTTGAAGCAACGGAACTTGCAAGAGCCACGATATGTCGCAATCTTTTTGCAGGGCATTAGCATGACTGGTAGTCCGCAGCGGCAACGCACGCATCACTACCTGGCCTTGTGGGCCACAGTCAGCAGTGCTAGGGACAGGCAAAACACGAGGACATACAAGCGGCTCACGCTGTACAATATCACTGCGTGAAACATTCGCAACGCTGTACATGTAGTGCTCGTCATGAGCTCTATCGTGCACCGGTCCCATCTGCTCTCGCTCCGCCTGCATATCCAGGCTTGCATCCAAATAGTGTACTCGAGTCTTCATGCTCTGGTCGTGCAGAGCCCCTGCTTGCTTGGGTGCTATGCTTGTGCTTCCTGAAGCAATTGGAGAACCAGAGTGCCGTGACATATTCAAACTTGAGTCCTCAGCATCACCAGCCACACTGATGACCTTTGGAGGTGGAAGAAGGGGGATTGTCTCGACAATCTCTTCTGCAGCTGAATATGGCTGTGCGGAGGTCACGGCATTCACCACATTCACCGAGCAGCTTGCAGCCGGATATCGCATGTCACATCCAGGCTCAGAGCTCGCCTCACCGATCAAGGCCTGCTTGATCTTGGACCCCTTGGAAGTACCAAACCCCGGAACGGCAAGCCCCACGTCCCCCAAATCTCGGGTTGGGTGCACCTGTGAGTTCATCCCAATGCTGTCTCTTGAATGGAGCTGCAACGGGTAGGAACCTTGCCAGTGCCGTTCTGCTCGTTCGGCTTCTAACTCGGCCCGCAATTGCAGGGACTGTCGATGCTGGAGCTCCAGGCGCAACTCTAGCTCTGCACAGGCCTCGCTTCCCTGGGCATTCTGCTGCAGCATTTCCGCCCGCTCCGCTTGGATCGCCAAGCTCGCGCATCTGCTCTCCGCGAGCTGCTCCTTGGCCTCCGACAGCTGCCGCTGAACCTCGTAGAGCAGTTCCGTCCTTGCCGCGGTGTCCTTCGGATCAAGCTGACATGGAACTACATCACATGATCAACATGGAGGCCCTCGAACTTCTGAGCAGAAGCCGCAACGTTGCCAGTTGTTAGATTAGACGGCTGAGTGGGCTCTTCTGAAAGCCAAGTGCAGCCGGGGCCTCGTTAGGGTACCCTGATTAGGCCCACAATCCCACCCTCCCAGAGCCAGAGACGAATTGCCCCCGCACAAGGCCCCCCCAAAAGCCAACCTCTTGCAGTCGACAGAGGAGGACTGCGTGCTGGGACTCCATCTGTTCACAACGTGCCTGCATGGCATGTAGCTCCTCAAGTGGCAACGTGGGGTGCTTAACATCAAGAAGAAGAAACCCTAAACCTAAACCCTAAACCCCAAACCCCAAACCCCAAACCCTAAACCGAAGTTTCTTGGCTCCTGCCGCAGGCCACGGACCTTCCTTGGATTTGGACTCACAGCTTTATATGCTCCGGGGAGTTGATCTAAGCTGCTTTCATCTGAGCAAGGCCGCTTTCAGGGATCTTTTCCGCAGTTGCCTCATGTGTGCCTCATACAAGAATGATATGCTGCATTGGCTGCATATTACTGCAGAACGAATGGCCCGAAATGGTGTACAGTGTACAGTTGCTTTGAGGCCAGTTGAGTGGACGAGGGGGGTGGTGGCAGCTGTGGCAGTGGTTGGGGGGGAGGGGGGGGAGGCGTTGGGAATGGAATGGGCCTCGTCTCGGCTATCACGAGCTTACCCGCCACGCACTTTCCCGCCATTCTCGCGCCGCTTTCATGCGATTTTCGCGCCCAGCTTTTCCAGGAGTTCGTGAACTACACGTTGCTTTGCCATGTTCGACGGGGCGCAGAACGCACTCCCATTTCCCCACAGATTGCATCTCAGAGCTACCCAGATTTGTCTTCTACAAATATAACTAGGCATTCCAGATACGGACCTTTGGATTCAACTTACGATACTTTAGGTTTTAGATCAACGCCCTCAAAAGTCCACTCTCGCGTGATGTTGGGATGTTCCCCCTTATACTAATCAGAGTCCTTTCTTGGGATTATAGAACCCCCGATGATCATCCTTATTCAGGACCGTTAGTATCAGGGGGAACATCTCAGCCAAGTGTCGACTCCGCATGGCGCTGCTCTTCTTGGCACCGCGAGCTCTGCTTCTGCGACGCTGCCAACTCTTGGCGCAGGCTTGCAAGGGTCTCCTGGGCCTGGCAACGTTCATGTGGAAGTTTCCGGAAATGGGTGTACCCTTTTGGGGTAATTAGGACTATATTGAGGGTATCCCTATTGGGGGGACATACCCGTGTGAATGACCTTCTGGGAAGTCTATGGCTCTACAGAACCCCCACTCACGCTGCAAGCATCTCCAACCCTCGCCTGCAGGGCGGACGCTTCCTTCTCAGCGCTCTCCCCTTGCAGTTCCTCCGTGATGTGCAGAAGCCGTTCCAGCACCTCTGCATTCTCCCGTGTATGGCAGGGCGCTCCCTGAATAGTTCCTTGTGAGACGAAGGAGCGCGTCTGCAGGCACTCGGAACTGGGTGAGCGGTAAGGGCAGTGTGGTGGTGACCTTCGCTTGAGTTCCTCACCTTGACAGACGGCCAGCAGCATCTTCTCGTGAATGCAAGGCGCGTGTCTGTGCTCCTGATGCTCCCCCACAAAGTTGTGGTATTTGTGGTGCAATCGAGAAGATTCTGCCAGTTCACTCATCAACTCAGCGACACGGGCTTCCCAAATCTCCTGTGCCTCAACCGCTTCTGTGGCCACAGCCCGGGACGTGTGGCGCTCTATCTCTAGGCTGTGCTCGAGGGACTGCGCCCTTTTCCAAGCTTGATCGCGCTCCCGCTTCACTTCGCACAGCTCTGAAGCTGTAAGCTTCTCGGCAGGCTCATTCAGACAAGGGACGTCAACTTCTGGAACACCACTGTCATTGCAAAAGCCCCGCAGAAGGTTCGCATGAAACGCATGTAGCTCGACTGGCTCAGGCTGCAAATTGGATCGGCTTTGCTCCGTGGCAAGCGAAGCTGCCGGCATCTGAAGCATCAGTTGATGGCTTGCAAGCTCCAGGCATCATCACCATCTGAGGAAGGAGGTCATGCGGGCAGGCGCTGTGCTACAACTCTACGGAAGGGGGCTATCTTCATGCTTAGCAGACGAGGACCTAAACGACCCAGGAGCTGCGCGTGTTTTCGTGGCCGGACACTTTCTAATGACGACTGAGTGGTACCTGTGCAGGACATACTCTATACCTTCTGTTCTTGAGCATTCCACATCTGCTTGTGAAGGCCCCGCTGAGTCACGCAACTGGGAAAGAAAGATCCAATCCACCATCTTGCGACCTACATGACCTAGGAGCTGCGGCGCGGTGCATCATGTTTTCTAGTGGCCGCACACTTTCTGATGAGGTCTGAGTGGTACCTGCGCAGGATATCCTCGACCTTAAGCTCTTGAGCATTCCACGTCTGCTTGTGCAGCGGGGCGATCTGTATGCAACTGATAAAAAGCCAAAATAACAGTAACATCTTGCGACCTACACGGCATGTTTTCTAGTGGCCGCACACCTTCAGATGAGGACTGTGGGGTACCTGCGCAGGATATGCTCTACCTTCTGCTCTTGAGCATTTTCCACATCTGCTTGTGCAGGCCCCGCTGAGTCTCCAGGATCTCTACGCAACTGGGAAAGAAAGATCCAATCCACCGGTCTTGCGACCTACACGACCTAGGAGCTGCGGCGGTGCATCATGTTTTCTAGTGGCCGCACACTTTCTGATGAGGACTGTGGGTACCTGCGCAGGATCTACTCTACCTTATTCTGCTGTTGAGCATTTTTCACATCTGCTTGTGCAGGCCCCGCTGAGTCTCACAAGGATCTGCACGCAACTGGGAAAGAAAGATCAAATCCACCATCTTGCGACCTACCCGACCCAGGAGCTGCGGCGGTGCATCATGTTTTCTAGTGGCCGCACACTTTCTGATGAGGACTGAGTGGTACCTGCGCAGGATATGCTCTACCTTCTGCTCTTGAGCATTTTCCACATCTGCTTGTGCAGGCCCCGCTGAGTCTCCAGGATCTCTACGCAACTGGGAAAGAAAGATCCAATCCACCGGTCTTGCGACCTACACGACCTAGGAGCTGCGGCGGTGCATCATGTTTTCTAGTGGCCGCACACTTTCTGATGAGGACTGTGGGTACCTGCGCAGGATATACTCTACCTTATTCTGCTGTTGAGCATTTTTCACATCTGCTTGTGCAGGCCCCGCTGAGTCTCACAAGGATCTGCACCAACTGGGAAAGAAAGATCAAATCCACCATCTTGCGACCTACACGACCTAGGAGCTGCGGCGGTGCATCATGTTTTCTAGTGGCCGCACACTTTCTGATGAGGACTGTGGGTACCTGCGCAGGATATACTCTACCTTATTCTGCTGTTGAGCATTTTTCACATCTGCTTGTGCAGGCCCCGCGCTGAGTCTCACAAGGATCTGCACGCAACTGGGAAAGAAAGATCAAATCCACCATCTTGCGACCTACCCGACCCAGGAGCTGCGGCGGTGCATCATGTTTTCTAGTGGCCGCACACTTTCTGATGAGGACTGAGTGGTACCTGCGCAGGATATGCTCTACCTTCTGCTCTTGAGCATTTTCCACATCTGCTTGTGCAGGCCCCGCTGAGTCTCCAGGATCTCTACGCAACTGGGAAAGAAAGATCCAATCCACCGGTCTTGCGACCTACACGACCTAGGAGCCGCGGCGGTGCATCATAAAGGAAGGGTAGACCGAGAGGCTGCCACAGTCGCGGGTGAATCCCTTGTTGGCTGCTCCGGTCTGCAAATCGAAAGGACAGAGCACGGTCCAAACTATGGGCGGAAAATGGTTGGGCAAATCTTGGCTTATCTGATCCTGTCTGACCTTGGCAGTCAGGGTCTGTGGAAGAAGGCAAGAGGAAGCATGCAGACATGCAGGCGCGGGGCGTTCATAGGTCCGACATTTGAGGAGCTAGGGCTTGACCTGCCAGGCCTATTCTCGAAGTAGTAAGCCCAACAATATACATCGGGCAGGTGAGTACAAGTGATTTCTCAAGTACATGCACTCAAGGCTTGCATTTGGGGGAGCGTTCCTCTGCACATATGAAGTTCCGTATAGGCCTTGAGAGTATGGAAGATGCTTTGTTCATGAAGCCAGGCACTTTTGGATGTTGATGGCATGTGGGGATCGGCCCGCGCACTGCCACCGTCGGGGCAGCTTCATGATCCTGATGTAAACTGTGGAGACACAGGCCCAAGAAGACTCAGGATCGTTGAAAAATGCCCTGAAACACGTCGCGACATCTCGGGATTTCGGCTGCACTTCGCAGACTGGACAGCGACCCGAGAAGCTGGGAAAAGTTGTATGCTACTGTGTAAAAGTTTGACTGTACGCCTTGAGGCTGCCATTTCCACTACTACTGCTGCTACTGCTGCGGCAACTGGCTCAGACAATTCTTGACCATCGACAGCGCATGCCTCACCTGCCGAAGCGTTTGCCGAAGCTTATGACTGTTCCTACACTAGGGTTCAGGGCCACTACATCATCATTATTCCCAAGGAAGCGGATTGCAGGCATTACAAGGGGAATGCCGATGCTCTCTTTTGGGGGTTGTCGTGGTTTTGGGGTTTAGGAAGTCTTTACTTCTGCTGCTCTCTGGCTGACCGGAAAACAAGGGAAACGGCATACCGGGAAATCAACCCAACCAACATGCCACAGCCTTGACGGTGGGAAGGGTTCCAAACCCAGAACGAATAAAGGCGCGGGGACAAACCGCTGATGGCTGACCCCCGCACTTCCCTGAAGAATACTTCACCCAAAACCCCAAAACCAAAGGCCTCGGAAGCCGCCAAAGCCCTAAAAACCCCAAAAGCCCCAGCCCAAGACCGCCAATATTCCCCCTCCCCTTCCCCCCCCCTTCCCCCCCCCCCCCCCCCCCCCCCCCCCCCCCCTTCCCCCCCCCCCCCCTTCCCCCCCCCCCCCCTTCCCCCCCCCCACCCCCCTTCCCCTTCCCCCCCCCCCACCTTTCCCCCCACCTTCCCCCCCCCCCCCCCCCCCCCCTTCCCCCCTTCCCCCCCTTCCCCCCCCCCACCCCCCTTCCCCTTCCCCCCCCCCCCCCCCTCCCCCCCCCCCCCCTAAAAAAAAACAAAAACAACAACAACAACCCCGAAACTCCCAAAACCAGACTTGCAAACGTGGCACTGCAGCATCGGAGCAGGCTTCACTTGGGAGAAGCTGGCCGGGACAGGGCTGGCCTTCCTGGAAGCTGAATGCAGGATTTGGGGGGGGGGGAGGTTTAGGGTGTCGGGTTATGGTTTAGGGAGGGTTTAGGGTTTAGGGTTTGGGCTGAGGGTATGGTGGCTGAAACTCTTAGTGTTCTCATGTTTGCAGACCTCCATGAAACGCACAGGCAGCCCCGCCTCTTCCAAAATTGGGACAGGCCTGATAGCCCACTGCCAGACGAGGACTTGCTGTGGGCCCTGAATCCTCGACTTCTGGTTGCGGCATCTTCCGGGCACTGCCCATCGCAATCTTCGCAATCTTCGCCAGCGAGGTCAAACCGCCAGAGGTCAGTGACGGCCACTAACTTGGTCATAACCCGCACGTAGCGATGAGCAAAGGACTGCGCCGCTTGATAGTTGTCCCAGCTTCGGTGCAAGCACTCGCAGAATTGGTCGATCTGGAGGACCACCATGGTGGAGACCTCTATCGTGCTCAGCTCGCCCAGGTGGAGCCACGGCGTCCTGAGTGATCGATCCCCTCAACCCCAAACCCTAAGCCGGGCACAAGGCCCAAAACAAAAGAAAAGTTCCGATTTCCACCAAGATGCCACAAGCCCATTTCGGCAACAATGAAGGCATCCTTGGCACTACGACCCTTCGCCCGATGTATGAATCCGGGAAAAGCAGTCTATCCAGGAATCTGAAGTGAGGGAGCAAGGCTAGGATTCGCGCACCATCCACGCACTGGAAGATTCGTGCGCGCACTGGCGAGGTGGATTCGCGCTCTGGGAAACTGTGCACTGGCATCTTCGTGACAAGATTCGCGGCTTGTACAGAAGACCGTCACTTCCTTTAAGGGCTCTTGCCCTCAACCTGTTAGAAGAGATTAAACCTTCAAGGGACATGACGAGACCCTAAACCCAACAGGGGAAGAAGATGTGTCAAATCCCGAAGCCAAAGACGAGCATGGATAGGGCCCTAGAAGGACATGATGAATGCGAAACCTGAAACCCTACAAAGGGGATGCCGGCAAGGCAACTGGAAATGTGGGAGGAGGGACCCCATCCCCAAGCGTGTTACCCTCCAGCCCAATGTTAAAACCCCCAATCGCCTTTAGGCACCCCTAACCCCGATGCTTTGTACAAACTAGGAAACTGGAGACATGCTTGAGTATCAGCTTCTTGCATGCAACGCTGAAATGGATGCCATCTCTCATGCAATGATTATTACATATTATTACAACAACGTTCATAGCAACGACGCTGAAATGGATGGCAATTATGCCAACAACAAAAGATATCATCACAACACTCTACTACAAGCATGATTCAATAATCCTCCATGATTTCGCCAGCAATTGCCCTATCACTACCATTCCCAGCCCTGGGGTTGGGGTGCTCCACTATAGCGCGAATAGCAAACTGAATCACCAATCTTGTGCAAGGGTCCTTGGCATCAAAGTCCGAACCCGCCAGCTTGTACGCGAGAGATCCATTGCAAGGGAAATAGACCTGTCGCGTCAGCAGCAACATCTGGGGCTTTCGGATGCCAACATCGACTCCTCGCCCTCTATCCCGCCTGTGACGCCATGGTGCCGGCTTCAAAGACCGTGTCACTCATCGCCAGAATCCTCGCATGTGGGGATGTTCCACATTAGGATCTGCTGGGTGAGTGCCTTGACATTCTAGAATCTAGAATCCTAATGGACGCAAGATGACTTAAGCTGAAGACTTTTGTGTCTGTGTCTGTCTGTGTGTGTGTGTGTGTGCGTGTCTTTGTGTGTGTGTGTGTGTGTCTCTGTCTGTGTGTGTGTGTGTGTCTCTGTGTGTCTCTGTGTGTCTCTGTGTGTCTCTGTGTGTCTCTGTGTGTCTCTGTGTGTCTCTGTGTGTCTCTGTGTGTCTCTGTGTGTCTCTGTGTGTCTCTGTGTGTCTGTCTGCGCGTGTTTGCACGTGTCTGTGCGTGTCTGGGCGTGCCTGCGCGTGCCTGCGGGCGCCTGCGGGCGCCTGTGCGTGCCTGTGCGTGCCTATGCGTGCCCATGCGTGCCTGTGCGTGCCTGCGCGTGCCTGCGCGTGCCTGCGCGTGCCTGCGCGTGCCTGCGCGTGCCTGTGCGTGTGTGCGTTGCGGGCGGGTGGGCGGTGGTGTGTGTTTGTGGGTACCACTCTGATAGCAAAGAGCTAACTCATTTCATTCCTTTTCAGCAGGGGGCGGATGGACTCATTGCCTGGCATCCGCCAACGAAGAACCAAGCAATGCAGTCATGCAACGTACCTGCCCTTGGCAGTGCCTGGACATCTGTGTATGTAACTGGCATGCCTCAAAAATATCGGTGGACTGGACCCAAACCCACCACAACATCTCACCATCAAATGTAACCTCTAACTAACAGGATTCGTCCTGTGAGCAAGTGTGCGTGCGCGTGTGCATGTGCGTATGAATGGGCGTGTGAATGTGCGTGTGAATGTGCATGTGAATGTGCGTGTGCATGTGCGTGTGCGTGTGAATGGGCGTGCGAATGTGCGTGTGAATGTGCGTGCAAATGTGCATGTGAGTGTTCATGTGAGTGTGCATGTGTGCATGTGTGCATGTGTGCATGTGTGCATGTGTGCATGTGTGCATGTGTGCATGTGTGCATGTGTGCATGTGTGCATGTGTGCATGTGTGCATGTGTGCATGTGTGCATGTGTGCATGTGTGCATGTGTGCATGTGTGCATGTGTGCACGTGTGCATGTGAGCATGTGTGCATGTGTGCATGTGAGCATGTGTGCATGTGTGTGTGTGTGCGCGGGTGTGTGTGTGTGTGTGTGTCTGAGTGAGTGAGTGAGTGAGTGCATATGTGTGTCTCGGTGTGTGTGTGTGTGTGTGTGTGTGTGTGTGTGTGTGTGTGTGTGTGTGTGTGTGTGTGTGTGTGTGTGTGTGTGTGTGTGTGTGTGTGTGTGTGTGTGTGTGTGTGTGTGTGTGTGTCTGTGTGTGTGTGTGTGACTGTGTGTGTGTGTCTGTGTGTCTTGTGTCTACTGTTGGTCTAGTGTGTGTGTGTGGGTGTGTTGTGTCGTGTCTATGTGTGTGTGTGTGTGTATGAGTGGTGTAATGTGTGTGTGTGTGTGTGTGTCTGTCTGTCTGTGTGTGTGTGTGTGTGTGTGTGTGTTGTGTGTGTGTGTGTGGTCTGTATGTCGTGTGTGTGTGTGTGGGTGTCGGTGTGTCTGTGTGTGTGTGTGTGTGGTCTGCGTGTCTGTGTGTGTGTGTGTGTGTGGTGGTGTGTGTGTGGTGTTGTGTGGTGTGTGGTGGTGTGTGTCTGTGTGTGTGGGTGTGGTGTGTGTGTGTACGCGGTGTGGGGTGTGTCTGCGTGTGTGTGTGTGTCTGCGTGTGTGTGTGTGTCTGCGTGTGTGTGTGTGTCTGCGTGTGTGTGTGTGTGTGTGTGTGTGTGTGTGTGTGTGTGTGTGTGTGTGTGTGTGTGTGTGTGTGTGTGTGTGTGTGTGTGTGTGTGTGTGTGTGTGTGTGTGTGTGTGTGTGTGTGTGTGTGTGTGTGTGTGTGTCTGTGTGTGTGTGTGTGTGTCTGTGTCTGAGTCTGAGTCTGTGTCTGTGTCTGAGTCTGAGTCTGAGTCTGTGTCTGTGTCTGGGTCTGTGTCTGTGTGTGTGTTTGCTGTGTCTCTGTGTCTCTGTGTCCGGTGTCTCTTGTGTCTCTGTGTGTCTTGTGTGTCTCGTGTGTCTCTGTGGTCTCTGGTCTCTCGTGTCTGTGTCTTGTCTGTGTCTGTGTCTGTGTCTGTTGTGTGTGTGTGGTGTCTGTGTGTGTGTGTGTGTGTCTGTGGGTGTGTGTGTGTGTGTGTGTCTCTGTGTGGTGTGTGTGTGTGTCGGTGTGGTGTGTGTGTTTGTCTGTGTTTGTGTGTTGTGTCTCTGGGTGGTGTGTGTGTGTGTGTCTGTGTGTCTGTGTGTTGTGTGTGTGTGTGGGTGTGTGTGTGTGTGAGTGAGTGAGTGAGTGAGTGAGTGAGTGAGTGAGTGAGTGAGTGAGTGAGTGCATATGTGTGTCTCGGTGTCGGTGTGTGTGTGTGTGTGTGTGTGTGTGTGTGTGGGGAGGTGGCGGGCGGGGGCAGCCAAGAAAAACAAGACCTCCACATAGTGATGTGGGAAATCAGACAGACGACTTGCGAACGAAGAGCTGCGACATACCGAATACGAATAATCAATGCCCTCGAAATGATATTCTATGACATTCTCTGAATATTTAATTCATGATATTGTGAGACATTGTATGGTATTTTGCTTATAAGATATTGTATGACGTTTTACGATATTCTGCGGTATTGTGGAACAAGGCATGACATTGCGTGACCCCGTGATGTGATATGATATGTTGTGGCAGTGTAAGATGTTATGCGATGCTATATCATGTGTCATATAATAGTGTAATCGTCTTCCTGTGGCTTTGCAACAGCACAACGTTACATGGCAATTTCTCTAAATTACGGTCCTTTTTGGGGTGCTTATTATAAGGCGGCCCCTCTCATTCAGGGTACCCTTAAAAACGGACCATAATTTGGAGAACTGACCCTAAACCCTAAACCCTAAACCCCAAACCCCAAACCCTAAACCCTAAACCCCAAACCCCAAACCCTAAGCCCTAAACCCTAAACCTTATATGAAGGGGGGGGGGGGTCCTTTGCTGCATCCCCGTGGCCAGCCGCCTTGACGACTCCGCGAGTCGATTTGTGCATGTGACGAAGGACAAGCCTCACGTCAGGAGGCTGCTTAGGGTGTAAGGTTTGTAAGGGTTGTAAGGTTTATAAGGTTTGTAAGGTTTGTAAGGTTTATAAGGTTTGTAAGGTTTGTGAGGTTTATAAGGTTTATAAGGTTGATAAGGTTTAGAAGGTTTACAAGGTTTAAGGTTCCTCAACTCCTATACCCTTGCAAGCCCCTGAACTCTACATCTGCAGATTCAAGGGGTCCAAATGGCCACGGAGGTGGTGCTCGAAGCGCGCGCACTGGAGCTCGGACCGCAGAGGCTTGGAAAGCAATTCCAAGAGCGGCACCTCTTCATCCAACACTTCCTCAGCAAGGTTCAAAGTCTTGTTTTGAGCACTTGCGGGCGGAGTTGTAAGATTGTCCGGAGCCCTCTTTGGGAATCACGATCCCCCCCCCCCCCCCAAGGCTCAAATAAGCCCCCCAAGAACCAAACGACGTACGACATGGGTCTTTCTTTCCACATTTACAGCCAAATTGCACGTCGTTTTGCTCTGCAAAGCCCCAAAAAAGAGCCCCCCCCCCAGGCTCAAAAAGCCCCCCAAAAACCAAAGGACGTCCGATTTGGCTCTCTCTCTCTTTCCACATTGGCAGAAATTGCACGTCGTTTGCCCTGCAAAGCCCCGAAAAACACCCCCCCCCCAGGCTCAAATAAGCCCCCCAAAACCAAACGACGTACGATTTGGGTCTTTCTTGCCACATTCGCAGCCAAATTGCACATCGTTTGCCCTGCAAAGCCCCAAAAGAACAGGACACAAACCGGATGCCTCGTCCTGGGCACCCTCACCCAGACCCAGAACAATGCAAAACCAAAAGGCTGTTATGCATGACCTGGTTGTTGTTTTGCAGTTTCCGTTGTGGCTTCAACCCTACTAGAAACTCTGGCATAAGACACTGCGTTGTATGCCTTCTACGTCGTCCATTAGCTGCTTCGCAACATGCTTGTGCAGTCCTACATACTTTGTTCAGCAGCCATCACCAGTCCTCCCATTTCTCCAGTTCACCATGGTGCACTGGAGGAGGAAACAAAACTTGATCTCTGTGCCGATTCCTCTCACTCCGGAATCCATTCTTCTCTAGAGGGCGACCATGTAAAATTCGAGAGGACAATCGAGGTACTCAGTACCGACCTGCCCAACAATCGACAGTCTGTCTTATTCAGCAAGCACACAGGCAATGCTTTTGTCATCTCATTGCCGTCCTGCCAATCCAGGCCAGCTTGAGCAATTGCATTGTTGCATTCAGTCAGCTGTCAAAATGATTCAGCTGACCTGTTGTTCATTCTACATTTGTGTCTTTGGGGATCTGGGACTTAACAAGGTTGTGGACCGTAGGACCGAGGGACCACGGCCGGCTAGGAGATAGGGCGGCCTCAAAAAAAATAAGCAAAAAAAGGGAGTCAAAACACGCCCTCCCCCTAAAACCCTGCTCACCCTCCCCCGACTCACATCTTTCAAAGCTTTCCAAGGCAAGGGGCCCTCTCTTTGACCGCAAAGGCGTGCTGCAAGAAGCAAGTAATTCTCAAGACAAGCTCCGGCTCCACATGGAGGGAGCTCAAGAATTGCCCCAGCTTTTGAAACTTGTGCCGCCGCTCCTGAACCAAAAAAAACACCGGGGCTTGCAGAGCTTTGACTCATGTTTGTGTGAGCTGTATGTCCTCGGCAGACTTGGTCAACAGCGTCGTGTGGGTGGTGATGGTGACCAGGAGAGTTGAAAAAATTGCAAGGCCCTCCAAAGCCACGACAATGCCAAAGACACGTTCCGCAGTTGTACCAGGTTCAATCTCTGTTCCTCCAAACCCGAGTTGGCAATACATCCAGTGAAGTGAAGTCGTGTACTTGTACCAAACCGAGGTCATGCTCAGGTCAGCTTTGGCCACCCAGCCATGCTCCGCATCTAAGCGGCCTGGGCTTCGAGAGCGAGGCGTGCGTCAAAACACCTGGATGCCTTTTGTCCCTCGCAGGGGAGGGGTGGGGGGTCCCTGCACAAGCTAAACTTGCCTTCACAGAGGATCCTCATCAAGGAGTGTTCCAGCTGACTGCAGAGTGTTCACGTCCGTGCATCAAGGCGCCGACACATTGGTGAAGATCATCCCCGACAGTTTCCGTGATGGGAATTCGTGCATCTAAGTGACTAGACCCTTGACAGCCACCGTGGACATCACAAGACAAAACCGACGATGTGCGCTCATCGACATCCTCCCTCGTCGAAATCAGTCCCCCTGACACCTACTCTCTCTTCTATCCAGCCTCAAGCAGCCCCTAACTACTGAAAGTTGCAGCCGCAGGCGCCGATATGAAACCAAGCGCTCGCCATCAGATGGCGAACGAGCCTCCGGAGCAGGGATCTCCGTTTATTTGGAAGGATTGATAATTCATATAGTGCAAGTTTTATATATTTATGGCTGGCACACCTCCAGCTCCTTGGTCGGAACGCGTGAGACTCAGCTACAAACTCCTGTACTGTGGCCTAGCCAAGACACAGCACTTGCATGGAGATCTGTGCAATCTTTGCGACAGCGATCACAGCTTGCTCCCTGAGTGCAGGCTGGTTTGGCTGGTTTCGGGCTGAAGCGCCCACAAGCCCCTGCTGCACAACAAACAAGAGGCACGATGGGTCGAAACTTTCTGTTGAACGACTGGCCACGTGAGTCTCAGCATCATAGGCTCCGTCAAGGAATTCAGGCGCGCGAGGCGCACAAGGCGCAGGCCACATTGTGCAAAGTACAATGCATCCTCGACAGTACAACTTGAAAGCTCTGCAGGTTTTGGGGCCGTTTAGGGTTCATTCATCCTGCTCGGGAGGTGCATCTCTTTCACTCCTTCTCCAAGAATAGGTCCAGCAGCACGAGCCAATCGATGAGGACAAAAGTCCTCAGCTGCGTGTCAGCTGAGGGAGGAGGCGACAGAATGGGCCGTTTACGTGGAGGAGCAGCGGTTGCAATGAGGTTTGCCGAGTCTCACATCGAAAGTCAGCCACCCGCGCGCATATGAGAATAAGATTGTCCGGTGGTTCTGCACCAACTTCCCATCTTTGTAGAAGCTCGAAATGAAACGCATGAGGATATCCAATTGCCAAAACCTTGCCGGAGACACGAGGTAAGTTGGGCGTTGCCGGCCTATGACTCAAATGACTCAACGAGCTTAGGATGAAGAGGTCAGGCTCAGGCGGATCCCAAGGAGCATTAGCAGTCCCACGCTCAACTCCACGCGCCTCAAGCTGGCGTCGAAGGTACCTGGGTTGTGCTTTAAGCCCTTTGAAAATTATGTTTTGTGTAGGTTCCCTTAGGAAAGAAGGGAAACCAAAACATATCCCAAAGCACAACCCAGGTACGGAGAGGCATGGTGATCATCTCCGTACAGATGAATAGCACTGCGAGGAAGTCCCAGGCGAGACGTGTGCGGCCCATCGGAGACAGAAGGTACTGGCGATACCGGTACGAGAGCTGGTCGGAGAGTTGCAGCATCGGTTTGGAAGAGCAAACGGTGTCCTAGCAAGCGTTCACAACTGAATCCCTCCCCCCCCCCCAGGTCGCAGTTGTGGTAAGAAACTGGTTTATAGCGGTTTCCTAAGGCTTCCTCATGTCATGCGACCCTCGAACATCAAGTCGTTCCTAAACTCCCAAAGCCCTCAACCCCCTAGAACCCCTTTAAAACCACCCAAAACCCCTAAAACCCCCTGAAAAACCCCTTAAAACCCCCTAACACCCCCTAAGCCAGAGCTCCAGGCTGCGCCGTCTTGGAGGGGCATGCGCCTTGAAACGCCAGCATAGCCGGGTGCTCAAGGAGATGTCCTCCGCAGTCCTTTTCGGTTTCCGGCTTTCGTTTCATGGGTTTGCCTCTATACTACCCCCCCCCCCTAGGTTCCCCTCTTGAAATCATCCTAATCAACCTTAGGTAGGCTTTATTACTGTCCCTCAACAGCCCTAATTGATGGTGGGAACCTAGGGTAGTCTAGAGGGGGGGTAGTAGGGCAACCCATGATTGTTGCCTGTCAAATTCGATGGCTGTCTTTCTCCTGTGCTGGCAGGAGCCTCTTCCGATACAAAGGAGCACAATGGAGTGCAACATTTCTGGGTGGCAGCACGGGTTTTCGGGCTTCGGCTTGTATGGATCACAGACCTCAGCCTGAACAGATTCTGCCTCTGCGTCCGCCGCTGGTTCGACTCTACTGGCGCGGCTGGGGATTCCATCCTGACGCCGCTGAATTCAACGGACCCTTTCCCAAGAAATTCGTGAAAATACCGGCGCTCGCGCACGGTGGGCTCCTTGAACTAGCCTGTCTGGCAAGCAAACTCAGAGGACCCTCCACTGAATGCACAGACGGCTGAAATTTCACAGAACAAGCACCTAAACCCTACCACTCTATAAGCCACTGAACGCGTAGGCATGACCCAGCCCCGTCCCAAACAGGTCCTCGGGAGCTTGGAAGCATCCCGGATGGCATGCAACTCCTGCAGCTCAGGGAACTCCGCCACGATCGGCTCCAGCACCTTCATCATGTTCATAGCATTGTTAACAATATTTAGTTTAGTAATCATACTAATAATGATTAATAATATTGAAAATACTTAGAGTAATTACCGAAATCTTGCTTTAGACTGCTTTCGATGCAACTTTGCGTGGCTTTACACCTGTTTGTATTGCAAAGTGTATGGGCTGGTCAGGCCCAAACAGAGATGTTCCGTTCTTGGCCTGGTGCTCTTGATTTGTGTGGGGGTTGTCAGGTTTTAACTTAGCGGTTCGCCTCGGCCGGACCTCCTGGCCCGCATCAACCTCCAAAGAAGCCCGCAAGGTTCCAAAGAGTCCCGCAAAGTGAGCGGCCAATCCCAGCGAATCCCGCAGAATGTGCCTGGTGTGCCCAATTTTCAATCACAGATAATTTGCAGTGTGTATCGAGTTGCTTAGATGTAGGTTTGGGGCGTTCGAGTTGTCTGGGGCGAGAGAGAGGGCCCAGGGGCGAGAGAGGGAGAGAGGGGGAGACAGAGAATGTGGCGTGCTGCACAGCGGCTCAGCGTGAACCTCAGGGTCTGCTCTGGAGCCACGTCCAGTAGCCCTTCAGCGCCGAAAATTATCTGGCTCCAAGCCGCCCCACTAGAGGCCCAATTTCTGCAGCTCCCGACTTCTCGCCTACAGTTCTGATGCAAGCTTCCCTGACTTCCGCCCCAACTCCATCAAGCAGGCCAACCGCATTTGCTCGACAGCCTCCTTGACCTCCCTTTGTGTACTGATATATCCGCACAGCGCCCCGGAAGATGTTGCGTGCCGCGCGCGCCCCGCGCAAGCACATAGACCTGCTTCGGCATGGCCACCTCACTTTTCCCTGACGACCTCTATCTGGCGTTGCGAGAAATTTCCAACCGTTCAGTCAGAAGATCAAGCTGCTGTTGCAGGATCTTGTAGAAGTGGTCACGAATGCCAACGCGCAAACGAGACGGCAGGCCGAGATGTAGGCATCCCACAGCCCCACGGCACCAAGACTTCGTTCCGGCAACGGCAAGAAGAACAGACCTATGACGGATGCCAAAGATCAAAGAGATGGGATCAAGTGGTTTGCCCCAAAGGCCCAGAAGTTCAGGTTGGTGCCGGGGTGCCACGGGGGAGCACCGGCGTACCGCAAAGGTAGGGTGGCACCACAGCAGGTGAAACCAGACAGTATAGGACAGTATCGCACAGCATCTCCTCCCTAGACCTGCCTAGGAGAAGTGAATGCAGCACAGGGCCGCCAAGCGACCGCGGCCCAGGAGGCCACAAGGAAACCTTGCAAAGCACGAAACACCTGTAAGACATTTGGCAAGTCGCGCAAGGGCACGGCAGGGCCGGGCGGCAGGAACGAAGGGATCTGAACGCAGCACGGGGGCGAACCAAGAATGAAACTAACAGAAGGCGACTGAAGCGACCCTGGCCGCCGAAAACCAAACAGAGAAGGCGAAGGCTCTGACTACGCTCACCTCCCACGGAATCCCACGGACCTCGCACCCTGAAGAATCGCCGCATGACCCGAGGGCCCAGTGGTCAAACTCTTTTCATGGGTTGTAGATGCGAGCAAGAGCACTCCCCAAGCTCAACCCCTTGGGCCAAACCTTCAAGCTACAGCCGTCTTACGATGCGCCTGTTGAAGTCGATGGCCCTGCAACTTTGCGATGCTTTCATCTGGCGGCCGGCGGTAATTTTGGGATTGCCACCGAATCGGCTGGTTCCAGGCACGGTTGCCAAGCTCGGGATTGTAAGGTCGGGCAAGATGCAGTGCCGAACTGGGGGTCATGGAGTCATGTCAAGATAGGAACTTCCTCGCTGCGGTCACCGAAGTGAGCCATTGACTGAAATTCAAGCCATCTCACTATGCGCTTCCCGTGCCTGTCTCCACATCCATCCTGAGTTCATCCAGAACCCTCAGCCGGTCTTAGGGTTTAGGGTTTAGGGCTTAGGGTTGGAAATCTTTCTTGCAGAGTAACGGGAATCCATGGCAAGTGCATCCGAGGAGCGACAACTGCGAGGTTTGCTGACGGAGGATGCCCTGACACGCAAATACGTCACTTCAACAAGGCGGGGCTTGGTGTTGAGGGCTTCGAGAACCTCTTTTTTTGCAACAGCTGACTGCTCTACTGAGGAGGATCTCCAGCATACATGCCGTGGCACAACGCTGAAACCCAGTGCGACCAGATCGCCGACGAGGTCTTCTGGCCCACGCCAGACTCTTGCCTGGGAAGGCTTAGACCTCGGCGACGCGCCGAGCATCGTGCCACTGAGCTGCTGACACACCTGAAGCACCCAACACATCGCATCAGGCGTTCTTCGACCATATTCAAGGCCTGAAGCCAAAGTCTGAAACCAGCAGGTACCCAGTTCAGGATCAAGTGCATCCAACGTGGCACTCCGTGCTCTCCGGGGACTTCGAAATCTGCGGCAACCTTTGCTATAGTATTATAGGGTTTAGCGTTTAGGGCTTGTGGGTTGCCAGTAAGTTGTGCTTCTTGGGTTTGTATGAGGGGATTGAACAAACTATGAGAGGTACCCCCTGCCCTCCCAAACCCCTAAGCCAGTAAGCACTACAGTAGCCCCAACAAATCCCAAAATTCTAAGCCAAAATGCCTAAGCTCCGAACCCTAGGCTCTATCGGGATAACGTGGGAGGAGTCAGAGCTGGGATCAGGACGCGAAGCTCATGCTCAGGCTCCACGCTCCGTTTCTCTTGGGAGGCCACTGCTTGTTCGTAGCACAAGCCTCACAACAGCACCACGGCCTTTTGGGGTCTTTCCGGGCTTTGTTTTTTTGGTACGGTATAGCTCTCCTTGCTCACATCTTTTCTTGCAACTACTCAGCAACCTTCAAGTTGGGTCTTTTGGGGAACGTGAGGGCGCTTAGTTGCTCCTCACCCTTGATTGCGGGCTGTTGTTCGTCGTCCTTTTAGCTCAGCTCACCTAAAGATCTCCTGCTCTCCTCAGAAGTGCCCACCCAGGAGATAGGTCCAACCCGGGGAGGCTGCTGAGCACTTGGTGGCGCATCCCTGGCCTACTGCTAAAGAACCCGAGTAGCCCTGGAACACAACTCCCAGAATATCGCACAAAGTGTGCCACAGAGTCTCCCTGGAGTGCAACAGACAAATTTCCAGAGCATCCTACGAACTATCTCAGAGAATCATCGTGTTCAGTACCCCTGGGGTGCCTTATCCAAGACGTTCCCTACAGTGACCATCAACTTGCTTATGTTGGAAGTAGATGATTGTAGGGTCGAGTTTAGAGAACGTGCGCTCCCCGAAGGCCCGCCAAGTTGCCCAAGATTCTGTAGGCCTCCCGGATGTCAGGGATTCGGTTTGAGGGCCTAGAAGAGAGGAGGGTCCGTTGTTCAGTGAAGTAGTGCGAGACAGATCGAGCCTCCCAAAAGCTCAGCTCAGGCGGTGGCTGCGTAGTCGCTATTTCCGGTGGTGGCAAGGGCACCGGCTCCATCTCGGCAAGCTCCAAACCAACTAAGTCAAGCGTGTGCCCCCAAAGGCATAAACTTGAGCCTGTGATCAGGTTATGCTTCACCACGGCATGGACACACACGTGTGGTGCGCGAGTTTGCGTGCGTTTGCTTTGGGTTATATAGGAGGGTTTGGATTTGCGCATTAAGCTTCTGCAAGCGGCAGGCGTGCAGCAGGTCGGTGAGGAGCTGCATCTGCACGCTTGCACACCAAGGGTCTCTGCACGAGGGTAGATTCTGGATGATGCTGGGGGGGTGCTGCAGTGTGGATGTAGCCCTCTAGGTTTGTCAACGTGGAGGTTGCTTTCTGTGCTTTCGGCAGAATGGCCGACCCGGCCTGGACCCGGCGACCCGCACACCAACCTGACTACTTTTTGACCCTTCATTCCCGCTTTTTGTGCGGATCACAGGCTGATTTGCCGAGATTTGCTGAGTTTCTATCCGCCCTCTGTACAAGTCTCGGGCAATTGTGCATGCACACTGCACCCACGACACGTTCCGGTCTCAGGCAGGAGTGTGTGGTGGAAGCGTGGGTTAAGCATGGGTTGAGCAGGATTTACTTAGCCTAAACCCTAAACCCTAAACCCCTAAACCCTAAACCCTGCGCATGTTTCAAAATAATCATATCTGTTACTGATTTTTGGTTGCCATCGTCCGCCATCCTAAAGGATCGCATCGCCGGCCATCTCCAGCACAGCCTGCGCCGTGCAAATATCCCTAAACCCTAAACCCGAAACCCTGAACCCTAAACCCTAAACCCTCAACCCTAAGCCCTAACCCTCACCCCAATTGCTGCGACATGCTGGGCCCCTGGGCCACCGGCCTCTTCCCAGCCGGAGGGCAGCACATGGAGTTCAAGATGCTACCAGAGTGCCGCGGAACGGGCCGGAAGCCTGGCCCAGCGCCTGGCACACAGCACTGTCGCGAAGCACCCTTGGAAAGTCCACTCACCCGAGGCCAGACGCCCCCCCAAATCCCAAATTGCCCATCCCTCGGCATGGCCCTCAAGAGTGTTTCAGCTACCGTTGCTGAGACTCAACTTCACTTAGCCATACTAAGCCCTGACTCTTGAACCAAGGTCCTTGCAGATTCATCGCAGCGGGGCCTCGCGGAATTCGCTGCTCAGGACTGGTGGCGCCAGTTCCTTGCTCTCTTCTGTTCGGGAGCTTCTGGGGTTTCAGTGCGGGATTTTGGCTGTGCGGCATATGAAAACCATGGCCAGACGTCTCATACTGCTTCATATGACGTGGCTTGTATGTCAATCTCAACGATCTGGAAAACTGCAATCTCCACTGCTCTGTAACTGTCTCCATCATGGCCCCTCCTTGTTGGGGTCACCTCGCCTGGGCCTGGGCCATGAGAAACTCCCAGACGGACACACGACAAAACCTCCGGCGCTGACAAAGATGAGGGTGGCGCCCAGGAACCGAAGCGACCTCAAAAACATCAGCTGTTGCCGTGGGCGTAGACCAGGCATCACCTGGGTGGCACCAAACCCTAGATCTAGCAGTATGAGGATACTCCTCCGAATGCATCAAGTACATCGAGCACCAGCCCCGCCTTGGTATTCCTCTTGGGCCCTCTTCGACAACGCGCTCTCAGGTAACACCTGTGATTTCGCATCTTATGACATGACCTGCAATGTATTCACCACTCACAAGAGCCGATGAGTCTACAAATATATATATATATATAGATGTATATGTATGTGTATATATATATAACATATATATATATGTACATATGTCTGCACGCATGTTATATACATATGTATTATGTACCCTGCATATACCAATGATATACATATATACATACATACCTACATGCATGCAGACATACATACATACGTACGTACATACATACACACATACATACATACATGCATGCATGCATGCATGCATGCATACATACATACATATATATGTATGTGACCATATATGCAGAACATGCTTGCCCGGTGCCTGACCAGCCATCTGCACTTCACAGCCATTCAGCTTCGGCCTTCAGAGCTTGAAGTTCGGGTCATCCCAACACTCACCGCCCCCAAAGCATGGAGACTGCTTTATTCAGTCTCCATAGCTTCACTAGCCCTCCCCTAATACAACAGAAAATAACCCAGGAACCCAAAGACCCAGCATCTAGAATTTTCCATGGTTGTCTCTTGAAATCTCTGAAAGGAAAATGGGGTTGACGCCCTTGGATCGTTCTTCATGCTAAGAACCATAGTCACATGTAGGAATCTCTTCATTCCTAGTATTACGATCATGCATCTTCTTCCTTACTTTCCAAACGCAGTCTCTGGGTGCCCGAGCCGAGGCTGAGCGGGCCAGCTTCCTGGCTAGAAGGGAGCGCGTGTGGAGATTGGGGTGTAGGGCTTAGGGCTCTAGGGCTCTAGGGCTCTGGGGCTCTAGGGCTCTAGGGCTTTACGGCTCTGTGGCCCTAGGGCTTAGGGCTTTAGGGCTCTAGGGCTCTAGGGCTCTAGACCTTTAGGGCTTCAGGGCTTTAGGGCTTTTGGGCTTTATTTTTCTAGGGCTTTAGGGCTTAGGGCCCCATAACTAGGAGCCTGTTGGTGAAAATACTTGATTCTGTATGGTTCGATCAACTCCCGCTTGGGTAATATGCTTCGGCGGAACGAACAGGTCGGGCAACTACCATGAGAGTCGCTATGCGAACTGCAGCGTGGCTGGGTGCAAGGCTTGGAACAGTCGGGGCCCAATGCGGAAGACAAGAACTCACTAAAGTGGAGCGATCATGACTATAGACCCGTATAGTAAGCTATACACATCCCTGAACGCCAAGCAACTCACAGCAGCAAGGCCTGACAGCTTGCCCGCCGAGCTGAGGACTGCAAAAGCCTCCTTGCCGTACGCATGCCACCGCTGCAACCCTTACTCATGAGCAAAAGTTTCGCTGTGTGTAACGCCACCGCAGCAAATGAGCAGGCCAGCTACGGCTGATGATGTTCGATGGATGCCAGGTCCTCCTCAGGGAGGACTTCCACCGCGGGATCCTTGCGATGCAGAGAGTGCGCATTGGCGCGTCGTGGCTCATCAGGGGATAGGATGAGGGACCCTTGGGGATATGGAGCCTCTGAATAAGGTCCCTGTTTAAGAGAGCTAGAAGAAGGTTAAGAAGGGTTCCCTTTTAAGGGTCCCCCTTATCCTACCTAGGACTCATGGGACGGGCTTAAATCAGCGGAGCTGCGGTTGGATCGACAGCTGAGTCGTCAAAAGCCCAGCCGCGCCTTAGCCATGACGAAGCCGTGACGTGGAGAGCCAAAGCTGTACTTGGAGGTTCATGGTGCTTATTAACCAAGTATAACTGTACTTATAACCCCACTTATAGGCCCCTTACGTGCCCTAATATGGTTCTACGTACAGTTATAAGTACAGCTGTACTTGGATAATAAGTACCATGAACCTCCAAGATAGGCCACTGTGGGCATCGGACCATCCAGCGATCTTTAAGTAGATGCGGCCATCCAGTCCTGTCAGAAGCTCAATGGGCCCTTCCTGACATAGGATGCACCCTCGTACATACCTCCACAAATACTGGAATTCCTAGTCTAGGATGAAGGGAACCCCAAGAAGGATGCCCGAATCTTGGGAATGGCCCGGAGGTAGAGGTGTCAATGAAGCGTGTTTCCTGGTGCAACCACTGAGGCTTCAAAGATGTCGCCCCTGCGAAGGACGCTACCAGTTCGCGGCGCGTTGACGTTGGGACCTTGCATGGCTTCTGCCAAAACTCACTAAGAACGACCTTCACCAAGCCCTGAGGTATGAGAGGTCATAAGGGTGTCCACGAATCCTATACAGCCATGCGGGCACTGGCCCGGTTGTTGTAAAGGGCTCATCATGCTGCAACAAATTGCAGCCGCCCACGGGATATGTATAGAGATAGATAGATATATATATATACACATATATGTATCGACATACCTATGTCCACATCGGTATATGCAAATATGTACCGTTCCGGAACCAGAAGTCTGACGCCAAAGCTGGACAAAGTGGCTTGGGATTGTACGTGTCGGTGTAGGCAGTGCATGATGCGAGAACCAGCAGCTCACATCCTAAGCACCTTCCCTAAACAACCCCAGGTCCCGAACGACTTAATGCTAAACATACGCAAGATGCGCCGTTGCGGCACTCGCGTCACTGCAGCTGTCTTGTGTCGCAGGAAAGACTCAGGGTCGGCACGACACACCAACAGCACTACAGCTCTGCAGACAGTCCCTTGACTGCAAAGAGAATGCCAAGCGTCTGGCCAGCTCGAACGCCAAGCCCCCTGCAGGATCATGCAAAGACTCGACCGAGCAGGTCCAAATCCCTCCGGTATTACAGTACTGTTCTTGTTATTATCTTTCCCTCGTCTTCTTGTTTCCGGTGTGCCTCGTCAGCACTCTGTACAGACGCCGGCTGCCTGTGGCCTGCACCTCAGGGAGGACCCCCAAGCTTTGGAAATTCTACGGCACAGAGTTCTTGGTAATGTGCCCAAGATTTGATGCGCGAGCCCCTGACAGATGGATGGCGCAGATTCCCAGGATGGCTGCTCTCTGGTGACCCTGGCACACAAGCTGGCGCGCGGACGCATTCGAATGAGCTTCCGCACTTCAAAACATGCCCAAAGCCTCCGATTCCACTGGCCTGAGGTGGCGTGTGCGGCGGCTTGCAGGTTTGCATGGTAGGTTACAAGGTGACCCTTCAAGTCACCCCCACTCTACACCCCAAGAGCTCGAGAGCCCCCAATACCAAAGCTCCAAATCGCCGACAAAACAGGAGGCTTGCAATAATGGACTTTTATTTTGTCGGGGGGGGGGGGAGGGGGGGAGAGTGATTCTATAACAAGGACAATAGTATTTGGCCCGGAGGGGGGGGGGGGGGGGGGGGGGGGGGGGGGGGGGGCGTGGGAAATGGTTGGGTTAACAGTTAGAAGCACCCCTATTTGGGGAATACCCCAGAAAGCACATCAGTATATCGAATACGAATAGAAGCATTTCATATTATTTTAACAATAACCTATTGTCATGGCATTATATATTACTGAATGCGCATACTAGTATATTGATACAGGAATACAACAATGGAACAATGGTATGGCATATATCATAGCTAATTTTCAAAAGTGATTTTTAGCATAACGATATACTGATATACTGATATTATGATACAATGAGACTTCTTGATAGAATGGTGTAATGGCATCATAATGCCTTACTGATATAATGGTAAATGATATAATGGTACCATGACATAACAATATAACACAAGAACAATACATTCATATAGTAAGTTAGAGTAATGTACACAAATGATATCTAAAGGAATACATGAAGATAGGAATATACAAGCACATAAACGCAAACAATAATATTCTACTGATACAATGTAGAACTTTACTTTGGGATGTTCCCCCGTATAGCAACAGCCCTTAATAGGGATCATAGTAGGTGGTACCAGAATCCCTGTCAAGGACTGTTAGTCTAAGGGTGAACATCCCAAACAATACTGCTTCTTCAGCACTTCCGGGACCAGAGCAGAAGAGTTCGCGAGATGGCTTGGTGCCAAGCCTGCCAGCGTAGGGCTTGTCAGGCTCATGTCAGGTTTCGGGTTTGAAGGGGGCTTTAGGGTTCACGTCAGGTTTAGGGTTTGAAGGGGTGTTTGGGTTCATGTCAGGTTTAGGGTTTAAGTGGGGGTTCTGAGGTTCATGTCGGGTTCAGGGATTCATGGTTACGGTTCCCAGTGCTTCTGATGTTTGCTGGGCGTTGAGGGCTTTTGGGGCTGATATTATAGGGCTTCCCTGCTTCGTGCAAAAACAAATGCTGGTCGCGAATGCTGCGACAACATCTCAATTGGCAAGGATGCCCTGTAACAGACAAATACATCAAGCCTGCCAGTGCCAGTTATGGAGGGTTTCAAAGTTCCCCGCCTCGCGGACACGGCCCGGGGAAGCGGGAGAGGTCTCTGGGATCTTGGGTTTCGTTGCTTCGCACGGGCACAGCCCGGCTGCGTGGCGGGAAGCGACTTTTTGAGTCACTGGGTGTGCGTTGGAGTGGTGTCCGTTGGAGTGGTGTTTTTTGGAGTGGTGTTTGATGCGGCGTTCGAGCTTGGAGTTGTGCCTGCAATTGCTGTTGCATCGCGAGCTGCTCCTGAATTTGTAGCTGCTGGCGATGCAGCTGCTCCTGAAGCTGCTGAATCTGCTCATTTGGAGATGGCTCGGTGCCTCTCTGTCTGTTCCGAGGCTGGCCAACACCGCCTGAGAGTTGGAGAGCGTGCACAATATGGGGGTTTACGATGTTAGGGGTACCTTATTGGGGTCCTTTTTACCACTATTTATTTCGGGGTCTAAAAAACGGGTCCCTTATTTTCGTAAACCGCCATATAAGTCAAAACCGTCTGCAGGACCACCGCACGGCGCTTCTAGGGCATGGGCTTCGGAGGGGGTCCCCAAATCGAAGATCGAGCCTGCTTCGTTTCAGACCAGCATCGACACAATTGTAGCCATCGCCAGAGAGCACGAAAGATACTTCAGCTGAATACAAGACCCGGTCCTGGCTGCTCCGGAACCTGCGAGTCTCTTGCGGATCTTATAACTTCCTCAACACCGAAGAAACCTCGGCCTGCGCCCTCAGAAGATTCTGCGCTACGCCTGGCGCCAAATCGACAGCCAATTGACAGCAATTGATTTATTCCACAGGCTGTGAGCATCTGAACTCAAATGTGCTGTTCACGTCTGCCAGAACCGACCTCGGCCTAGGGGCGCTCGCTGATCGCAGAAAGGACCGTCTCCAGGCCCCTGGCTCCTGCTTAAGATTGCCCATCATTGCCCCGAGTTCCCCGACTAGAGCTGCGGAGAGAGCATGAAGCCACAGCAGTACGGCTCTGCTTCGCTGTCCTGCGCCCTCGACGTCCTGGCATTTGCCACTTAGGCGTGCGATGTGCAGCTCCCCGTCTCACCAGGAACACAGCTCTCCTGGAGTCGGATCCCTGCGGACCTACTTTGGGCCTCAGGTCTTGCGGTCAGATTCAAACGATTCAACTCAAGCCCGTCGAGTAAGTTGGTGGCCCTTTGTACTGGGAGGCGTTGTGGAGGCTTTCCGCCGCGCCCACGTCCTCAGCAAAAGAAAACCGTTCAAAGTCTGCAGAAACGGCGCGGTCTTGGTCACCCTGGTGTTTGTGGATGGCTCCCTGCTTGGACTACGGCACGGAGAACGAAGTCCAAAACTACTTCGTTCCCTTGCTGCCGGTACACCCATAAACACGTGGGATTGAAAGTCATTTGGGCAGTGGGGAGACGATGGTGCTTTGGTGCTCTGTGGTGGCTCACTTGCCATCGACAAGACTGCAACTCCCATGATCTTACTGCTGGTTCGCAGGGAATGCGGGAGTTAGGGCCCTATATGTACCCTGTATTGGATTATTTATATCGGGTACCTCATTCCTCCATTCCCTACTAACCAACAGTAAATGATGCCATGGCTGAGAGCAGCGCGTGCCCAGGGACGACCTCCTCGCACTCAGAAGCCGAGGCACCTCGGCGGAAACGTCTCGCGCGTCTCGACCGATGCAATGAACATGTGTATATACACATATACATGTGCATATATAACACATGTACATATACATATATAGTGGATACTTCTACATAGCACACTATCATTTTTTCGGAGGGGGTAGGGTAGACTGGGCTGCCAGCAACCAAAAAAACAACTGCTTGGCTGCATGCAAGATGCTGCTGCCTCGAGGCGAAAACTGCAGCTCTTCACTCTCAGAGTCCTAACGGGGCAGATTCGGGGGCCCGGGCCAACAGAAGCATGCTCCTCTTTTGGTTATGCTGCATGCTGAAACCGGTTTGCCACCAGAATGCTGCAATCCTTCTGTGCACGAACCCCGGAAGCCAAACCGGGAGGTCCTCAAGCCATTTCCGATCGTCTTTCGGGTTCTCGCGCGGCTGAGCCTCCCCCGCAGCGCTTGGCCAAGCTGAGAGCGTATCTTTGCATTCAAGCAACGGCCCGCCTTGATGACATAGGGCGAAACTGGCGATGTCTGAAGCATGTGACGTGGGTCGCAGAAATCATGGGCCCTTGAGCCATCTTTCATCATCCGCAGCCCTGCCTGCGCACCAAGGCGAAAAGTGCTCCGTCTGCTCTTGGCAGCCTTGTCTCAGCAGGCGCTCGCTCAGAGCTCGAAAGGGGCGGAGAGAGAGACTCTAAGAAAAAACAGCACTGCCCCACGAAGGCCCTCCAAAGGCGGTGGCATCTGTGGGCCGCGCGCCGGAAAGTGCTGCAGGATCCTGCAAGCTGTGGCGGCCATCCGCTGTGCTGTGGTACCCATATGGACTCTAACCGCTTGGAACCGTCCTGTCGCACTAAGCCGTTCATGCTCGATCGCTGGCTCATCCCGGAAGCTGCCCGGGACCGTGGCTGAACCTGACGGTCCGTCAAAAAAAACAACCTTTTTCACCAGAACTGGCCCATGTCTCGTAATCTGTGGCCTTGCTCGTGCCAGGTGTACTCGACGATCGCTTCTCTGAGCTCCTCGCTGGAGCCTTCGTGCAGCGGAGTTTGACATGTCTTGACTGAGACCTTGAAGGGTCGACTTCAGGTTGCAGCCCTTATGTCGCGTGAGCGACTCCTCCGGATCATGAGGTGCCTACAGGGCCTCCTGCATATTCAGACATGCACGACTTGCACCGAGAGATCAAGCTTCATCTGAGTCCCAGTATCTCTGAATCCCAAGTGCCAACCCCTCACATCCCTCAAGGAATCCCCAAACGATGCCAACTTAGGGGCACGGGGGAGGGGAGGGTCCAACGCTGCGCCTGCGAGTCAGCGCGCGGAGCCCTGGGCCCACTGTCAGTAACTTGGGGCTCATCATGCTTGGAGGTTCATGGGCACTGAGAAGTAGAGTCATAAGTACCCTAAATAAGGCTAGAACCGTAGTTGCCATACTTAAAACCCGACGTATAAAGTACCCTTGAACCTCCAAACCTCCAAGTAGGCAGCTCAGAGGGTTGAGGGATCATAGGGAAGGGTGCACCAGGGAGGCGGAGTTGAGGGTGGCTATGGCCATGGGCTGCAAGCCATGTGCACCCGGGGCCTTTGGGCGCTGGAGCTGTCAACCTGCTCTCGTGGCGCCAAGGAAGGGACGACTTGTGCCAGGTTCGGTGGGGAGAACTTCAGAGGTTTAAGGTTGCGAAGTTTAGGAGTAAAACTTATGAAGTTCACAGTTCAGGGTTTCCAGGCCTTCAGTTGTGATCGGCGATCCTGCTGCTTCTCAGCCTGCAGGCTGAGCCCCTCTATCTCCTCTGACGGAGCCTTGTCCCGAGCTTGAAGGTCACGAGCTTCCTTCTCAGAAGCTTCCCGCAGCTGCTGTGCCTGCTCTGCTTGCTCTCGCTCCTTGCGCTCTCTGGCCTCGCGCTCTTTGGCCTCGCGCTCTTTGGCTTCGCGCTCTTTGGCTTCCTGCTCCCTGGCCTCACGCTCTCTAGCTTCTGCTAGTTGGGCTTGGCGCGCTGCGATGTCACGCTGCTGCTGTTCCCTGGCTTCCTGCTCCTTCTCTGCCTCCATCTTGGCTAGTTCCAGCTCCTTTGTTGCACGTCGCTGCTTCTCTGCTGCTTCTTCGGGTCCGGCCTCTGCTTTCGAACTTCCTTCCTGGAGCCCGCTGGACTTGGTGCAACTGCCCAAGGGCCTTACAAATGTTTAGGGAGTTCTGGGTCACAACACGCAGGCCTGCTCATCTGCCTCTTGGTCTTCTTCCTCTGATTCTTCTTCCTCCTCCTCCTCTTCCTCCTCCTCCTCTTGTTCGCCATCTTCTTCCGACCCCTCTGCTTCCTGGAGGTCGGCTCAACCGCTTTTTTAGCTCTGAAACAAGTCAGGTCAGGAATTGGCAGGAGAGAGCCTGCCTGCTTCGCCGAGGGAGCAGAGGCCTGCAATTGAGTTTGGGTTTGACACTCGGGGCGAATTGCTTCAGGTGTACAACAATGCAGCCCAACGTGTACAGGTGCATTTTTACACCTGTTGTTTCTACACAAACTTTCCCGGAGTGTTCTGGGATTCGCTTATGGAAGATCACCTGGAATTTTCCATCAGCCATGAACTAAAGCCAAGCTTTCCGAAGTGGAAGCAGCTTGGTGCTGCCTGTCCAAAACATCAAGCTCGAAGACTAGTTCCTGGAAGGTTGCAATGTACTCTTCACATGAACTGACTTGTCGTGTTTGCCTCCGATTACCGCATCCTTCTACATATGTGTTTTTTGACTCTTTTTAATTCTTTACGCTTGTATATAAAGCAATCGGAACGCCGCAACACGAGCTTGTGCAGCAGGACCTATACCAAAGCAGTAGCGGATCCAGGTTGGCACAGCAGGCTCGGAAATTCATGGCCTCTGCCTCAGGCTCTTCTTTGATGGTCCTGAGCGTGACCCATGTCCAGGGCACCCTGTACAGACGCATAGGGCTTAAAGTTCAGGGGCTCACATGTGGGGGTTACGCAATTAGGGGTACCTCATTGGGGTCCTTATTAGAAGGGAATCTTACTATTTGAGCGTCCATTGTAGGGGTCCCCTATCTTCGCAAACCCCCATGCAGCAGATCTGAGCATCGGACTTGAGCTCTGTCCTGGTGATTCACGAAGTCTTTGGTTATCGAGATCTACCGTAGCAAGTCTTGCACACCTCTCCTGCTTGTTTCGACTGCGGATGGACCAAAGGAAAGCAACTACAGCGACTGCACACAACTGTAACAGCACATGGGCGTTTCCGAAATTAGGGGTACCTGCTTGGGGTCCTTACTATACGGGAATCTTCCTATTTGGGTGTCTATTTAGGGACCCCTAATTTCGGAAACACCCAGATGAAACTGCCCCTCCTGGCGTTTCCAGCTGGTGTTGGGATCGAGCGGTTCTCGGTGGTCAGGGCTGTCAGGGTGAGTATGCATTCTAGCCTGCATGGTCAAAAGGCTTTCTGGCCTGCATGCTCAGTTCTCTGAATTCTGATTCCTGTGAGGTGCCCTAGACACCAGGGCCCGTCATGAATTATGATTCCTTGGAGGTGCCCTAGACACAAGGGGCCGTATTAAAACAGGGATTCAAAACCGCATCATAAGTAACACATCTGACCACATGCCTGCCATGACTCTGCTGTGCTGAGCTTAGGACCGGAAAAAGGAACCTCGGCTATGGTGGTTGGAAAGAAACCCTAAACCCTAAACCCCAAACCCTAAACCCTAAACCCTAAACCCTAAATGAGACTGTAGGGTTCTGAGGGTTTTGCACTTTTGGGGTTTGAAGCGGGTTACAGGGGTTAAGGAATTTTGGGGGTTGAGGGTTCTCGCAGGGAGGGGCGGGGGGTAGATCCATGTATGGAACTGAGCCATAGGAATTTAAACTACAATAGAGACCAAAAGGACCCTAACAATTTAGATCATCCCCCAAATAGAGAGTAGGCTGGTTCTTGGTTAATTAAGTCTTGGGCTTCCACCCCGCTCCTTAGAGAACAAGGTTTCTCGAGGCCGATTCTTCCGAGGCGCTGCCAGATGTGAGCCGCCTGAGCATCCTTGGCTGGCGCCATGAACTCGCAGGAGCCTGGCCTCAGAGGGTTTCATCCCTTCCCGCGAATGCTACACCACCCCTACACCCTTAATGTTAAGTACTCCCCATACACTGCAAGATAACCATATTCACCATATTTAGAATATTTCATACTGGGAGATCGGAATATCATCTGCCACAGCGGCCGTAGAATCTTTATGAGCTAGCAGAGTTAAGGAGACCTAGAGAATGGTAAGCATAGTGATATTTGTATGTGTGGGTATAGTGAACATATAGTTTTCCTATGGTCACTTCTCTTGACTAGGGAGTTTGGGCTTCCCATTACAAGGCGGTCCCCTGATATTGAGGGTGCTCGAAAAGGGACCGTTATTTAGAAAACTCACCATATTACATCTGTGTGTACGGTGTACAGGTTTCTAGAGGGCTCAAGCTTGCTTTGTGCTTGAAGACCACCTCAATTGCTCCTGCTCAGATTTGCAAAAGCGCTTCGCGTTTAGGGAAACCCTTCGCCCTTCCTTTGCCCTGTGGCCTTCTCAGACTTGCCAGGAACGGTAGCAGACACCCGCAAGCCAAGACTAGATTCTTGTAAGGATACCAGTGGTTATACAGGGGCTAGTTTGGGCTGAGGGGGGTGCCACCTATAGTATCCCTTAGATCACCCTGGTGGATCGCTGTAGGCACACCGTTTCGCGCGTCGCCGTTGCCGCGCGGAAAATCGCTGCAAAGCTCTGTCTGCTCAGCGGATTCAGCATCTTCCCGTACACCCCCCTAACTCGAATAGTCCAAACCCTACAAGGTCAGAATCCTCCTTGATGAATCCCCGAACGCTGCTCAGAGCATGGAGGCAATGATGTCGTCTGGGACGTCCCTTCGCTGGGAGCCTGAGTGCAAAGAAACATCAATGACTCATGAGATGGATTTGCTACCATCTGCCGCACATACACAGAAGGATGCCGGAGGACAGGTACGTTAGGGTCACGCAGAATCGCGCGCACACACACACACACATGCACACGCGGACGACATCTGTAATTGTCACATGACGACCCATCGCAGCCAAGAATTCTGCCAAGAAGCCATCCATGCTGCCGGCGCAGCGATGCCCGATGTCTGCTTCTTCCTGCCAATAACCCAACTCGGCAGCGCTGATCCTCTGTCCTTTGTCCGCGTGGGAAACCTTCTCCTCCCCCGCCGGCACAAAGACCAAGCCAGCCGACAGCAATTCCTCCCGTAGTCGGGCGCTAGCTCCAGCCTCTGAGTCAGCTGCGCCGTAAGCTTCCTCCACACAGTTCGCGAGCTTCAGGAGCCGGTCCCGGAGCCACTGTCCCGGGCAGTCAGCCAGCTGCTTCATCAGCCGCGGCTGCAGAACCCGAACGCGAGCCTCAGAGAGTCCCTCAGAGAGAGGTAAGAAGGCAGCCAGTGTATCCTCTGCTAGGTAGGTGACCGCAGCGTGCTTGGAGTCAGCGCGGCCAAGCACGACGACCTCCAAGCCCATGCGGCCATCGTCGAGCTTCCGCGTGTTACCCAGTCCGGGGATCCAGCCAGGAAAGCCGGCCGCTTGCAGCGCAACAGCGTAGTTGCCCTGCTCCAGATCCGTCGCCAAGGACTTCAAGACCATCCGAACTGAGCACGCACCTGCCTCTGAGGTGAGTGATGTGGTGTAGCCTTGCACCTGTGCCGGCCACGCCGGAAGTTGACTGGTGGCTTCCAGCAAAGCCAGAGCCGGTGCTGCTGATACGCTCAGTGGGAAGACCACAGAGGCCCTGCCATAGGCGCAGGTAACAGGCTCCCTTTGCACGCGCTGCGCGCTTTGCACGCCTTGTGCCAGATCGGCCGTCTCCGACATGCGAGGAAGGCTCAAAGGCAAGCAGCCTCTGAAGCACTCAAGCATTTAGATAGCTATTGACAAAAATCTGACGAACTTGTTTGGATAGGGTTGTTAACGTCGTCCGTCGACGCACGCATCAGAAACAACAAGCCGTCGAACCTGGCAGGACTTGACATGACGACTGGCTAATCACTAATCACGAATGTCGAAAATACTGAGCCCACAAATGCCAAGCTTCATTGATCTTGATTCTCGTCCCTTGACTCCTATTGCTATACCCATGCTTTGCTCTCCGTCAGAACGTGAGAGACAAAAGTAGCTCCACGCAGCTCGCAAGCTGAAGTAGCAGAATCCGGAGCTTTCCTGTCACGACATCACAACAAGCCGAAGACCCTAAACCCTAAACCCTAAACCCATGAGGAACCAAGTCCCCCACTCCCGCTGCGTCGCGCTTGCCTTGGTCCACCTGAAGCTTCTGAGCAAGCTGTGTTACAAGCTGGCACTTCTCTGGGCCATTTTTGCAACTTGCAAGTCGAATCTGCTGCAACATGTTGCAACTGCTAAGCCTATACTGCGCCTATACTGCGACAGCCAGCTATGCCGAGATGTAAGATGCGCTGTCAAGGGTTTTAGGGCTAGATTGCTGGAGGTGCCTCATCTGTGCAGCTGCACGAACTGTGATTGTGGCCACTGCCTGAGAGTTGCCACGGAGTGGGCTTTTCGTCCAACAGGTCCTAGCTAAGAGACTGAGACACTCAGGCCGGGTCCCCCTTCACGTTCTGCAAAGTTAGCCTTGTCCATACTGGCTTGCTGCAACTGACGACAATCTCACTGGTTTGAGTTTTCCCCTCCCTCTCCCCCCCCCGCCACCCCCGGCATGAGCACGCAGCGTCGCACCACCTTGTTGCTGGCTTGCATGTGAGGATATGGTCCAAGCATGTCCAAGCATATCCGCGCCGCCAGGAAGGATCCGGGCATGTTGCCATGTGGACTTCTGTCCCTTCCACCCCTCCTTGTTTGTGCACCAGTTGTGTACCTGAAGCCCCGCAGAACGATTGAGGGTTTAGGGTTTAGGGTTTCCTGGCCACCGGTCCACTGTTTGAGCTTGCGACCTTGGGGCAGGACACCTACTCTGACACTAGAAAGACGGCGGTCTAACCCGTGGTCCTAGACATTGTTCCGTCTCGAATCCAGATGGGCTTTCAGAGGAAAACTCTCAAGGGCAGCCACGCATCATGTGCTCTGTGCATGCTTGGAGGAAATGACCACACACTCACCCTCAGAGCTTCATGGTAGGTAGGTAGATAGGTAGATGACGTGAAGCAGCTTCGCAGACAATGTCAACGTGAACCAGCATCAACATATGGCATGAGGATGGTGCTATAGGAGTCGTGATATAAGAGCTCCAAGACTTTGTACGACTTGAAAAAACCAGACGGACATGTTCGCTTAGTGACATCTTGCCGCTTGCCGCTACAAAGCCTGCCAAATTCCGTGAATGCTCACAGCTCACTGCTGCTAGTGCGACTCGCGCAACCCCTCTTCTCACTCTGTTCCCGTCTTCAGTTCAGGCAGCCCACGTTAACAAGGCTTTCTGCAAATAATGTTCATGTCATTGAATAACACCTTGCCATGTCCCCTTACAACCTTAATGAAAATAATACATTTAATGTCCTATTGGGTCTTATATAAACAAAGACAAAAAAACTCCCAAGGGGGATATAGCTTTTAGAGGTGGACAAACTCGGCTCCAAATCATCATCCAAGGCATGGCTGCCTGAGGCCCTGGCTGACGAATGTCGAACCTCGGCCCATGGTCAGCGCTCTCTCATTAAAGCCTCGTAGCCCCGGGTTTAGGGTTTATGATTTAGGGTTTAGGGTTTAGGTTTTAACGTCTAAGCCTCCGTCACTCTCACTTGAGGGCAAAAGCGGACGTCTTATGTGTTTGAGTCGGGCGGCTGATCTGATTTTGCCAGCTGCTTCAGGTTGCCAAAGTATGCACCTGAACACTCTCCACACTTTCAAAGAGAGGCTTCATCTTTCTGGAACCTTGGAGATTTCAACCAGACAAGGCTAGCACCGAGGTGATTGCCAGCCAAATCTGCGATCGTAAGACCTGACTGCCACAAAAGCTCTCAAACATTCTTAAGCAGAATGGAACCGGCCGTATGCGAAGGCCACAGGGCCAAAGAGGCTTGGAACCCCAATGGCTCAGCCTAGCTCCCCACGCAGGTCTGCATCAGCACCGATGTCCACCACCAAAAACGCCTGCCATCAGGGCTGGTGCTTGTCCCTCCTAAACCCTGAAGGCCCTAAACCCTAAACCCTAGCCCTAAACCCGAAACCCTGAGACAATCCTTGCCGGGCAGGCACACCAGTCCAGCTGTGACTTCACACCCCCTGACACGAGCGAGTGTGGGCGAAAAGCCATTGTTTGCGGTGTGGGAGGCCCCGACGCTTTGCTCCCGAGAAGATATCAGATGGCAGGTGGGCAGTCTTTTCATCTGGCATGGTCACGTACCAGTGGCAGACCATACCTTGGAAGCACAGACCCCGTGGAAAAGATGAAGAACCAGCACACATCAGCAACAGTCCCCGCAATGCTAGGCCTCATACACTGCGACCAGAGCTAGGGGTTTTGGGTCGAGGCGTCTAGAAATTGAAGAGACATGGTCACACCCAATAAGACGACGCCTGCCACACTCAGCCATTCTACAGTCCACCGGTGCATTCTCAAGTGTGGGGAGCACCACTCCCGTCAGAATTGAGCCCTCCCGACCTTTCTTCACACCCCGTTTCTCTACACTGCACACCCCCGCGACCCATGCATGCCCCCCTACTGTGAGCCCCACCTCACTCACTCCCTCCCTCCCTAGGAGTTCTTCTCGGGTCGCGCAGCGCTAACTCACAGTATCTACTAGCACAACATGAACCGTTCTATGTATGCTGCAAATCACATATTGTAATTTGTATACAAGAAATAGAGCAGATAACCTAGTGAAACATCATAAAGCAATATTCCGCACTCTCTGTTTCAGGCCCCACGCCATCTTCACCACCAGGCGGAGTTCCCTCTGAGAAGACCTCAGAGCGGTGCATGGAGACACGAGCCGCGGGGTTCTCGGTTTGGGGGGCAAGGTTTAGTGTTTAGGGTTTAGGATTCAGGGTTTAGGGTTCAGGGTTTAGGGTATAGGGTTCAGGGTTTAGGGTTCAGGGTTTAGGGCTTCAACGGCCTCATCTTCTGTTGTAAGTATGCACATTTAAGGTAAGCCTCCGGCAATTGTTTCAGAGAGCAGCACGCACAGCTGGGCGGACTTGTCGTGGCCTAGGCCAACATGAGGACATGGGTTTAGGCTTTAGGGTTTAGGGTTTAGGGTTTAGGGTTTAGGGCCTAGGTTTAGGGTTTAGGGTTTAGGGCGTTGGGATCATCCCCCTTGTACTGGCAGTTCTTAATCAGGATTCTAGTATCCCGACTATAACCCTCATTAAGCCTTATTCTTGGACTGTTAGTATGACGGGGAACATCTTAACATGTAGGGATTTTGGTAGGTTTCAATGGTGGTGAACTTCTCTCCATGTACTCCCCCATCCAATCGAGACGAAACAGATGGACATCTACCCAAAAGACAAGATCACGAAGAATGAGAGAGAGCGAGATACAAACACGTGCTTGAATCAAGTGCTGAAAGGAATTTCATGGTAGAGAAAACGCATCTGCTGGAAGGGAACAAAGCAAGATTCGTACCAGTGATCCGCTTACTGAAAACTGACGCTGGGAAGAAGTGCCAAAGAAACGAATGAGCTCAAATGGGCATTGTTCCCATTTCGAGTCCCGGCTAGGCAACCTGTCTTTAACCCCTTTGATGTAAATTTACCAGAGAGGATCACAGACGAGACCCTAGTTTGGAACAACCACAATATTCAGAGCAACGCCGACACCCTAAAGTTCCAAGCAGCCTGCACGATTCTCCTGAGGCTCGCACGTATTCCAGACATCCCACCACCCGCCTCGGGGCTTTAGGACTCAGTGCTCTTTTCTTGAGGGAGGGCAGGGTTGAGCTTGTCAGTGGTGGTTCGTAGGCGGGGTTTCAGCGTTTTAGGACGTATTGCAGACATATCTTGTGAAGCAAGCCCGCCACACGAAGTCCTCGGCGTCTTCATGGACCTTGATGCTGATTTGTGCGCCCTTGAAACAGGAACTGCTGGAAGCGCTTTAGGGTTTACGGCTTAGCCTGGCCTCACTGCACCCATGGCAGTGCCATGGCTGCACATCACAGGGTGGCGCCGCGCAGAAGAGGGAACAGCGTTTACAGCTGACAAAAGAAGTATGGCTTGGAGGTGGAGACTTGCAAGGGTTTCAAGAGCCAAGTTGACACAAGCCTTCAGTAGCCCTAGTGGCTCGCATTTGCTGAGTGGCTTGTTTTGATAAGTTTTGTCTGCTGAGTGAGGTCAAGGCTCTGTGCACAGATGGCGCTCTCTCTCTCTCTCCCTTTCTTTTGTGGGTCTCTCTCTCTCTCTCTCTCGCTCTCTGGCAGCAGACTCGGTCCAACAGCTCAGTCAAAATCTACTTTCTGGCAGGAGGTTCAGAAGTATCCTCTAGGCTCTAGAGCCGCGACGCAAAGTTGCGACGGTCTTCATGGCACGCGGAAACGTTTTCACATCTGGCGAGCTTGCAGGTCATTCGGCCCTGAGGTGAGGAAGCCCAAGGCGAGCTGCAAACCTCGGTGCAGGACAAAATGAAGATCCATTCGCCTGCCAGGTCATGTTGGGGCACTTAAGGGGCTTATCAGTGGGTTATAAGTACAGTGATAATTGGCTAGCAAGTACCATGAACCGCCAAGTACTCCTTGCAACCACTCCTGAGATCGGACTCGTCGAGTCTGGGGGAGGGGGGGATGTGAGAAAAGGTGCCGCTGACCACCACAGCAAACACATTTTACCGTTTGACCTCAACAAGCGCTCTCCTGCGCGTGACAACAAACGTGACGACTGCACGGGCTGGCAACGCAATGCCTCCAAATAATTTCCGTTTCATGCCCTTTGATACATTCCCAAAATCAAAGCCCCCCCCACCACCACATTCGCGCCTCCACTATTCCCTCATGAGGACGTGTGTCAGCGACCCCTACTGGAACTTCCAAGCATGAACTGATATATGCCACCTATTAATTATTAAGTCTCAGGCGGGGCGAAGTACAGATGTACTGTGCAAGTGTGTGTGCATATGCGCATTGTTACAAAAGCGTCGAGAAAGATGTTACATAAAACGTGGTATCATAGCGTACGGCACAGGAGCGGCTTGATGAAGATGTAGTGGTTGATAGCGAATGAGTGCGTTTGACAACCGAAGCGACAAACACATGCTAATTGGCTAAGGAAAGTCACTATCACTACCAAACCTAAGCATCCCTTCTCTCCACTTACCGGAGATCGCTATCCGTACACCTTATCCACCTCAACTTCTTGAATTGTGAGTCAGTACGTCTTCAGCAACTCTTTGATATGCATTGACCCAATTCTTCAGGTTTCTTCTTGGACACGCAACGCATATCCGCCGACCCCAGCCGGGGGTTGCGTCAGTGAAGACCCCTCTTGCCCCCTACCACACCCCACCTGCATTCCTTTGCTTCATGCTAGCCCTACCCCCCTACCCTACCCCCCCACCCCCAAGACCTCCAGCGCATGCCCTAACCCCTTCTCTGGGGTCGGCGGGAGTGGGGTAGCCATTAAATCGGAGCACGGCTAGCCTAAAGCCACTGCCCCACCCTGAAAATGGCATGTCTCCTTGCATGAGGCTCCGGGGGGGGGCTCTGGGAGGGTTCCGAGCGGGGTCCCAAACGCGCATGCGTGGAAGTGCCGAAAACATCGTAAATACCATGTGTTTTTGCGCTGTTGGAGGGCCGCCAAACGCCCTGGAGGGCTCATGCTTTTTGATCTTGGGCGAACATGCGAAAAAACACCTTATACTCAAGTTTTGGGGGGGTACCCCCCCCCAACAGGGGCGAGCATCATGAGCATCAGCGACCCGCCCCCGGGGCCACAGGAGGGCCCGGGCGCCTCAACAAAGCCAGAAAACACCGTAAATACCGTGTTTTTCGCGTGTTTCGACACACACACACACACACACACACACACACACACACACACACACACACACACACACACACACACACACACACACACACACACACACACACACACCTCCTTTCGAGGGCACTGCCGCGCCTCCACGGTGCGAGGCTTCGGGGGGTCAGCCGACGCCCGCGATACGCACCCACGGGTGAGCATCATGCTCATGAGGGCTGATGCTCATGATGCTCGCTTGGGGGGGGGTCCGAGGGGCCGAAAACGTGGTAAATACCGTGTTTTTTGCGTGTTGCGCGAAAAACTGTTCAAAAACTCATCGTTATGTGGCTGCCGTGTATGCACGCAGCGCCAACCGCGCCCACGTCGCGTGGGTTGGCGCTGCTCCAAGGATGTGCAAGAGGCGCAGGCGCTGATGCTCATGATGCTCACGGGCGGGGGCCAACCGGGGGGGGGTGCGGGGGGGGGGGGGGGGGGGGGGGGGGGGGGGTGTGGGGGGGGTTGAGGGGGTGGGGGATGGGGGGGGGTGGGGGGGGTGGGGGGGGGGGGGGGGGGGGGGGGGGGGGGGGGGGGGGGGGGGGGGGGGGGGCCCACCCCCAAGCCGACGCTGATGCCACTGATGCTGTTGCGCGCGCGCACGCAGAGGATTTTCAGGGTCTCGGCTGTCGCTTCCTGTTCTTTCTTCTCTTCTGCTTCCTGTGCATTTGTTTTCTTCTTACTTGTCTTCTTCTTTGTGCTTCTTATTTTTCTTCCTCTTCTTTCTCTTCTTCTTCTTCTTCTTCTTCTTCTTATTCTTACTTTTCTTCCTCTTGTTATTCTTCTTTCTTTTCGTTTATTCTTCGTGTCTTTATTCTTCTTTCTTTTATTATTCTTCTGATTCTTCGTCTACACTTTCTTCTTCTTTTCATTCTTCTTTATGTTATTCTTCTTATGTTTATTCTTCTTCTGTTCTTCATATTCTTGTTTATCTTATTCTTCTTTTTATTCCTGAACCTTTTCTTCTTGTTATTATTGTTTTTGTTTTTTCGTCTTCTTCTTTTTCTTCTTCTTTATGTCTTCTTTTTCTTCCTTTACCCTTTCTTCTCGTCATTATTCTTTCTCTTCTTTTCTTCTTCTTCTATTTATTCGCCTCGGCTTCCTGCCGAGAAGCGTCTGGAACAAGCAGACCGGATCGGGCCTCCTTCCCCCTAACCCAACCCTTCCCCTCCCCCCCCCCCCCCCCCCCCCACCCCCCTGTGGACCCCCCCCCCCCCTCCTGGAGGAGCTGCAAACCGAGGCCGTGGGGGGGTGCCCCCCCCCCCCACCCCCCCACCCCCCCCCCACCCCCACCCCCCCCACCCCCCCCCCAACCCCCCCCCCCCCCCCCCCCCCCCCCCCCCCCCCCCCCCCCCCCCCACCCGCTCTGCCCTTCCTCCCTTTTTTTGCGAAACCCTCTTTCCTCCTTTCCTGTCCTGGGGCCGGCCCGGCTGCCGAGGCGGCGCGCGCAAGCGTTTACAATTATTCTTTCTTTTCTTCTACTTCTGTTTCTACTTCTGTTTCTTCTTCTTTATCTTCTTCTTCTTCTTCTTCTTCTTCTTCTTCTTCTTCTTCTTCTTCTTCTTCTTCTTCTGCTTCTTCTTCTTCTTCTTCTTCTTCTTCTTCTTCTTCTTCTTCTTCTTCTTCTTCTTCTTCTTCTTCTTCTTCTTCTTCTTCTTCCTTTTCTTCTTGTTTCTTTTCTTCTTCTTTTTCTTCTTATTTTTCTTCTTATGTTTCTTCTTATGTTTCTTCTTCTTTTTTCCAACCCCTAAACCCAAACCCGAGTTTCAGTTTTCAGACGGCCAGGCCGGCCCGTGCCGCAAGGCCTGTAGATATTCTGTCAAGGCCTGTAGATATTCTGTCCTGTCGGTCTCCTTTGCAAGCATGTCGATGCCCATCCATGAAGTAAGAAAACAAAACCGCTACATTGCCCCACGATTATACACATATCAGTTTCATGATGGGCCTGAAATTCCAAAACCAATGAGATGACACATTTATGTTGAAGATGTAAGGGGCACGAAGACAGAGAAGGCCGCCCAAAGAAACCGAGTGATTATTCCCGAGTAATACCGCAACGGGAACGAGGCACATAGGCGAGTATTTCCAAGAGATGGGTATGTCTTCGTTCTGATTCCAACCAACAGACTTCTACGTGTGCAAGCAATGGATGTGGAGTCAACAACTTATACCATTGTTTTCCGCACTGCTGACCGCGAAGATGTCGGAGAGAAAATTACGAGCGTTTTGGCAGAGCCAAAGAAACACCGAAAACCCCCAAACCCTCAAAGCTCCGGCCCTAAAGACCGAAATCCAATGAAAGCCAAGAGCCGTAAGCCCCAAACCCTAGACCCTGAATCCTACCAAAGAAGCTGGGCTGAGGCTGGGTTCTGGCCCAGTTTGGTGGTTTACTCCATATCCAAACCTTGCAGAGTCCCCGACGCGATTGCAGGGGCGCGTCCGCAGAGTGTGCCTGGCGCGAGATGACACTCCGAATCATCCCCCAAACCTCAAAGTCTGAACACAACCCCATGAGGTGACGTGCGCGTGTCGTGGAATGTGCTTGCCTTTGCTGCGTTCTCCAGCTCTGCTCGGACATGCCCTCTCCGCAACTCCTTGCAGTTGAGTGCAGACGCCAGATCGCAAGAAACACCATATGTGCAAGGGCGCTGCTGTTCAGCTTTTTGAGTGCCTTTTTTCTGCTCGTCCGTCGCAGCCGAAACCCCAACTTTGGTTCACCGATGCTCGTCTCTTGAGCATGGCCGGCAGCATTGTTTTAGGCTGCCTCAAACCCCCATCATCCTACACTGTGACATATCGAATTCGTGGATGTCTGCGGTCCAGTACTTTCCTTGCCTGCACGAAGCCTCAAGCGCAGTACCCGAGATGGCAAATATTGGTCGAAAGATGAAGATGAGTACTACGATGTTTTTGTCGCATCTGACCGCAGATTTCTGAAGCTTCGTTCCGTTGCCTTCACATATCCACTGAGAGACCATGCAACCCGATCTCAAAGGCTTTCGCATGCAGATGCATGCGGCCAAAGATAATCAAATTAACCGCCGCCAGCTCGATTTACGCACCTGCCATGGCAGCCGCTTGATTCAGGGTCGCCGGAGGCGAAACCTGTGGAGCATGGAGCGCTGGGCAGCGGATTGGGTGAACAAGAGACCGTCGACATGTTCGGCTCCGGAGCTACAGTACCACGGACTTCAAAGGTTTCAATTGCACAGTGCCGAGCCTCTGAGGCCTGCATCCCAAGCCCAACAAGGCTGCACCTCAGACTCAGGGGTTTTGGGTTTGAGGTTTAGGGCTTAGGGTTTAGGGTTTAGAGACTCAGGAGGCTAACAGAGCCATTTGACCAGATCACCGCTGCAGCCATTTTCCTAGGGGTTAAGACCGACAGTCTTCAGGTGATGTTCAGCTCAGGTCCTGACATCTTGGAAGCCTTGGCAGGCACGCGCCTGGACTTTCGCTCTCCCGTTGGACCACCACAGAAGGCTCTGCAGTCCATGGGAATCTCTTGTACCATGAAGTCCAAGAGGTCGGAACGTGATGATGCGGCTGCCACCCGACTCAGGATGAGGCCCACAAACTCAGGAGGCTGACGCTTGAAGAAGGACACTGGCAGCGGCCGATCCTCCAGGCATTCCTCCCTGCGCAGCCTTGGGGCTTCTCCGGCCAGAACCCGCTCAGAGACAGTGTCACCTGCCGCAGTACACATGTAGTCGAACAGTGCATTCATGAGCATGGCGCCCGCATAGAAGCAGGGCGTCGCCTGATCGTAGGCAGCATGATCGTCCAGACGGGACTCCAGGTCTCTCTCGAAGTGCTCTGCGCTGTGCGCATCTTGCAGAACCGGCAACACTCGCAAAGTCAAGCATCTGTTGATCGTGCGGAGCACGTCTCCCAGCTCTGACTCAGTTTGCACAGGTAAGCGTACGATCAAGCCCATCAGCAGCTCACACTTCCAAAGGCCCGGCAACAAGTCTGTCTCTTTTGTCTCTTGTTCAGCTCCCGAAATTCCCGTGAGGCCCACAAGCTCATCAATCACGACGCGCAAGAACCTTCTGCGCGTCTTCTTGGAGTCAAAGACTTCAGAGTATGCCTGGCAGGCAGCGGTGAACCATTGCCCATGTGGCGCCACGGCTCCGAAACTTGCACCTGTGGTGCTGTGGTTGCTGGCTGCCTGGCGCAAGGCAGAACCCACCGGCATGAGCACCTGTGGAGAGGACTTGGAAACTCTGAGGAACAGCTTGCCAGCAAGAGCGCGCAGGCGCGGCGATGGATGGGACATGGTGATGGCCAGAAGCTCTGGCACCAACGAGGCCGGATGGAGCACTCCCAAGCGGGCCATGGAACTCAGTGCCTGGAGGGCGCATTGGGCGCCGGTTGCAGCAGTAGCTGTTGAGTCAGTTGCACAATCTCGAAGAACCAAGCAGAACTCGGGTTGAAGCGTGGACAAGCGCTGCACGACTTCACTGGCAGCTGGTGTCTTTGTGGCTCTGGCCACTGCGGCTTCCCAGTCTCCTTCACTCGATGGAGCTTCCTGAGCAGCAGCTTCGAGCGCGGAGAAGATGGCTGCAAGTGCATCGCAGGCTGCGGTTCTCTGGTCTGCCTCACCACACAAAGCCTGTCGAAAAATCTGCAAAGGTCCGTCCATTCCATCCACTGTATTCTGCTTGGACTGAAGCAGCAAGAAATGTCGCCGCAGGACGTGCCCAAAGCAGGGCAGGATGGATGGCTTCAGAGCTGCCGGTGCCCTCTGCCAGAGCTTGCCAAGCAGCATGATGGTTGTAGAAGGCATGTTGGTTTGATGAATGTCCCACTTGTACTTCTGCCCTTCCATATCATCACCAGCTGCATGTTCCTCAGCTCAGCCAGAAGGACATTCAGTGCAACACGTCAATCTGGACTGAAGCGAACAGATGCGAACATCAAAGATGTTCCATGCTGAGTCGGCCAAAACAGGTCCGCCTTCTGCACCTGCCCTTCCCGCCCCCTCCCCAAACCCCAAGCCCCAAACCCTAAGCCCTAAGCCCTAAGCCCTAAGCCCTAAACCCCCCCTTCCCAACCTCGCCTGCTCTGGACGCTGGACTGCCTCCACCCCCGCACTGTTTCTTCAGCCAGGTCTCCGTCGAGCTCCAGGTCGCGAACTCCTGCACGCTGCTGACGAACCTGAGCATTCGTCCAAAGAACTCTTTATGGCACCTTTGAAATATTTGTAGCCTGATTATCGATTTTTTTAATACTCATATATGGCTATGAATAGTAAGATACATACGGCCATTACTCATAGCCATATACCGAGAGCCTCCTCCACTTGATGCAATGGATCCTGCGCAGGACTCTCTTGTGCCCAAGCAGCCAGGCTTGCCTCAGCAGCTGCCTTTGTGCTGCCCCAGACATCGCGGCTGCATCTGCCACCTCTAGGCTCTAACAACTCAGCTGAAGATTATCCTTCCCTTTATATCTTGGTAACAAGTACCTATAACACCCTAAACCCTAAGCCCACCCACGTTAGGGTTCCTTTTCTAGCTTGGTAACAGGTACCTATAAAGGGGGGGCCGCATCTCGGGGCTTTAGGACAGGCTTTCGGCTTCAAGGGCATCGTGGCATCGCCGAAAACCCCAGAAATCAACCGTAAACTTGCAACTTATTTGAGAATCAAGCCCTAAATCCTAAACCTGCGCCTGCACGGCAATTCCCAGCTGCTGGACACAATGCTCGCTCAAGGCCTCGCAACAGCAGGGCAAAGGAAAAGTCAAAGGCAAGCCGATGGCTGACCGGAGCCACCCTAAGCGCCCAAACTTTACTGAAACCCTCTAACACATCCAGAACCCCGACCAGAACAATGACCAAAGCCGCAAAAAAAAACATTAAAAACAAAAAATGTCAGTGACGATGTCAAAGCAGGGTCTATCTTGTGCAGGCCTGCAGCTCCTGCATGGCGACTTTCCCAGAAGCTAGGGCATGCCCGTGCTTCGCCAGTGCCTGAACATACATGTTGACCATTTGACAGACTCTAACGGTTCCGTTCTATGGTCTTCTTTGGGCTCTACCTTTTTGGGGGAGAAGTGAGAGAAGCCAGAACTACTCCAGAGTTCGGAGTGTTCGTGCTTCTGCAACCAAGGCTCGCAAAGGCATTCTGCTGCAGCACGCGTCACCTTGCTGCCACTGTCGACCAGCACTGCTTTCAGGGCCGTGGCAATGTGCTCCTACGCCTGGGCGAGTCACGATTCTAAAGACAGATTGCATCGAGCAATAGGCGGCATGGAGCTGCTTGTCTGGAACTTCTCAGAGGCCAGCCTGCTCCTTGTCCTTCTTGCTGGGGCCCTCATCCGCGACCCAGGTCCCCAGGCTATCGCACCTTTGACAGCACTTAAGCGACCTCTACTTTCCGTTTTTCAAAGACAGCCTACTGAAGATGTAGCCAAAGCACAAGACCCGGCAGGCGCTCCGCGCCAGAAACAGTTGAAGCGGCGCTGTGCTCGAGCTAGCATCTCGAAGCCAGCCAATCATGACCGGCACACAGCTGTGCACTGCAACGGGCTCCAAATAGGCGGCCTGCTCCAGAATCAGTGTCCAGGGGGCCAGATCCTCCAGGAAAAGCAAGGGATTGGCATCCGCATCATGCTTGCCCTTCAAGGCGCGCTGCAGTCCCCCCAAACTCTCTCGGGCAATCTTGGCGAAGCCTGGCTCCGGGCCCTTCCCTTCTTTGGCTTTTGCCGCTTTTGCCTTTGTAGCCAGGTCAGCATGATGTGCCGACAGCAGACGCTGGAGCCCCTTCGAGCCGACTCCCTGCTGCTTCGTGAGCTCAGCTGCAAGGCCTATGGCCGAGTTGGGCCAGGAGCGTGGCAGCAGTGCCTGCTGAACTGCCTGGAAGACCATCTCCTGGGTCTGAGGGACCTCGTCCCAGCACAGGCGGATGAGCTCGCTCGATTGGCTGAGCAGGGCCCCGGAATCCATCCCGGGCTTCAGCAACTTCAGCATGGAGCACGACACACGGAAGGCTGATCGTCTCACAGCTGGCGCCGGATCCGAGAGCTTCGAGGAGATCGCTTCCTTGATTGCCTTGCTGCCCAACTCATCCCCCAAGAAGAGCTTCTCGGCAAAATCGACGGCGGCCGCTCTGATCCAGGCAGACTCGTCATTAAATGCCAACGCTGCTGCTGCATCACGCGCTGACCTCGGAGCAGGTGGAGTCGAGGCGCAGGCACCGACCAGTCCGCACAGAGCCTGTCTTCTCACATGGGCCAGGGGGCTGCTCTTGAGCTGCGCAAGCAGCGCCCAAAGAGCAACCGAGCGTGCCTTCCAGTACGGAAACTGGGCTTTCACGGTCTTGGGAACTTCGCAGGCGTCGATGTCGGACTCAAGGAGTGACCGGTAGAGCTCCTCGGCGGCAGCCAGAGATCCCTGATCTTCCATCCCCTTTGCGGGGCGAAATGTTAGGGATCTTTGGAGCTTTCCGAGGGCTTCAATCTTCCAGCCTTCCTCTTTGCTGGCCTTGCTCGCCTTGCTCGCCTTGCGCCTCTTGGGAGATGGTGGTGGGCATCCCGTGGAACAAAGGAGAAAGGCGGCGCTGCAAGCTTTGCTCTTGTCACTGGTGGATTCCCGGAGCAGGAACTTGTACAACAACTGCTCGTGATCGAGACTGGCATCTTTTGGGCTGTCTGCGCATACCTGTTGGAGCATCTGGAGGCTCTTTTCTGGGTGACCCTCCGGAGTCTTGGGAAAGCCGTGGCCTGCGATTTGGCCGAGGAGGCGTACAGCGAACTCGCGCTGGCCGCAGGTTAGTTCAGCATGCTGAGAGGCGCCTGCAACCTTTGAAAGGCCCTTGGCCAAGTACAACAGCAAGCACTGTGCACCCGCGTAGCACGGGGACAACGATGCCATCAGGAGCTCAACTAGAGTTTGCTCCAGCCAAGTCCACGCCTCAGGCTCTGTCTCGCGCTCCTTGACGCGCAGCAACGACTGCCTTAGCATGCCATCAGCAAGCGAGGTGGCCAAGGCATCCGATGCTGCAAGGCGTTCTGCAGCTGCGCTCGCGAAGCTTGTCGCATTTCCCTCAGCTTCAACAGCCCGGCAGCAGGGCGCTTGCACTGCCGCGATGAGAGTTGAAGTGAGTGAAGTGAGTGAAGTGAGGGAGCCTACCGACAGCTCCGATCCTCTTGGCTTCGAGGCCTCGCTCCCACAGTTGGCAAGTTGCGTTATGGACCACTGCGGCACAAGCGCCAACTCCTCAACGGCGAATGAAGCCAGCTCCGCGTTGTGGATTAGAGCCGAGAGGAGTAGTGGCGAAGCTTGAGCATTCACAGAAGCGTCCGTCTTGCACGCTGCAAGCAGCTTCACTGCAAGTGGCAGAATACGATGCATGGCTGGGCTCGGCAGGAAACCGCTCATGACAAATTGATGATGCGCTGCTGCAAGCAGTCCACGCCAGGCATGAGCGAGGGACTTATCCAGGGTTGGTTTCGCGACGGAGCTCCGAACAGAGGGCGAGGACAGCACCTGAACGAGTGACTCATCGCCCCCTGCTGCCGCGGCGGTAGGTGCATCGACGCAACTCGTCGCCAAGGCACACGCGGCAAGCTTCAAGCTCAAGGCTGGGGCGAGGTGCACAGAGTGCTCGTCACACTGCTCAAGGATTTTCGATGCCACTGTGGCGAAGGGTAGCTGTCTTAACTCCACAGCCATCTCAATTGGCCCGGAGGTCGACAAAGTCTTCAGGGAGCTGCTGAGCAAGGAATCTGCTGAGGCATCCAGCTTCTGCAAAGATGCCTCAGTGTCGAGAGCTGAGCCACACACTCCTGGAAGATCTTTCAAGCGTCTCACCAGCTCATCCTCCATGGCTTGCACATCTTGACCTGAGGCCTTTTGACGAAATCGTTTGCGGGGATTCTGGATGGTCTCTGGACGACCACCAGGCACCTCACCTTGGATAAAAAAAGCCGGCTGCAAAGCTGCCTCTATGCGTGGAATAAGGCTAACCCTAAACCCTAAACCCTAAACCCTAAACCCCTAAGGCAGCCTAGGCCTAAGCATCTGCATGCCGAGCAAAGCACCCAGTGCATCTCGAGCTTCACAAGCCTTTTCCAGAGCCTCAAGACAACTTATCACTGTTTTCTGATCATCGGCTTCCAGAACAAAGAACTCCCGCAAATCGAGTTCGGTTGGAAAGGTTCCACGCTCAGGTGCAGGCATGCACGCACTTCTGCCTGAAAGCATCAGACTCGCAAATACGTGCGAATGCAGCAAGAGAGAGGAAGAGCACCTGCTGATCCCAGAAGTGTGTCTGCTTAATGCGTCTCAGCCCCTCGAACCCAGAAAAGAGGACAATGAACATTCTGACTTAATTGACTTCATCATCATCTGCACAAACCACCGCAGGAGAAGCAAAAACGCTTCATGGCCTCTTGGGCGCCATGCTTGTGCGCTCGCCCGGGAAGCTTGGCTTAGGAGATACAACTGAGCCAAGGCAACGGACAGAAGGCCTCCACATGGCAACTGCAAACCCGGCACGAAGGATGATCGACCGCGCCCAGGATCTGCACCACAGCTCTATGTCAGGAGAGAGGATCAACAGGTATCCTCGCAAATTGAGGCATGCTGCCGACGCATGGTTTCGGCCACCTGTCGTGCGCAATCCAAACGTTTCAATTATAAGGCAGGGAAAGAAAAAGGCCAAACTGGGAAGGTGCGCCACATCTGAACAGGCACCAACGACCATTGCCCGTTCGCCTCGCGCACCGAGCTAGTCAAGCTTCTATATAAATATATATATATATATATATTAATATATATATATATATATATATATTAATATATATATATATATTAATATGCGGTAGCTGTCAAAGCGAAAGCTGAGGTCACGCACCCCACTGGCGCAGCGATTTTACAATGGCTGCTTCCGGACCCACGACGTACACCAGCGCCAGCAGATTGTGCACAAGGGCCTCCCAGGTGACAAGTTTTCTCACTGTGGTGGCCATCGAAGGCCGGCGATGGTCGTGCCTCCTCGGTGAAGGCCTGCTCCTTGTCCTGGCCAACTACCAATAAACAAAAAGGTCGTTGGCACCCTAAACCCTAAACCCCAAACCCCAAACCCTAAACCCTGAACCCTAAACACTAAACCCTAACCCCAAACCCTAAACCGGGGATTGCGTAGCGCAAGCAACCAGCCTTTGCAAGGATCGAAACTGCAGTCTCCATCGTCTCACCCAGCTGCGCCTCGGGCTTCGGAGAAGGGCGCCAGCGTCGCGCTGTTAAGCCCTAAGCCTCGCTTGAAAGGTTTGCCTCCATGGTTTTCGAATTTTGCCGGAGCCAACAGCCAACATTGGGCGCTGCGCAGCAGACCTTGGATTGCTCTTGATCTTCGGGGGGTTTGGATTTCTGGGTGCTGGGATTCAATTGTGTACATGGGCAGTTTTCTAACTTTTGGTCCCTTGTGTTGCAATACGACCCTAAACCCAAAACCCTAAAACCTCAACCCTAAACCCTAAACCCTAAACCCTAAAGAGGATTGTTGGGGGATACATGGTGTAACCTGAGAGCCCTAGAGGGCCATGTCTTGGTGCAGGGCTGCTGCCAGCAATTTCACGGCCTCCTCACGCAAGTAGGAGGCCTGCGAATGTGGCACCGTCGTCCGTTGCAGATGTCGTAGCTGCAGTTCCTCCACCTGCCTGCTGATTCCAGCCATTCTCCTGGTTCTTTGCCAGCGCCAGGGCCTGCGCACGGAATCTAACATAGTACCGGTTAAAACCGAGGTTACCATGGAATGTTTCTGAAATACAGAGAGAAAGGGGTTCCTATCTTCGAAAGGTGAGCCGACCTGTACCAAGAATCTGGGCAACCCTAAACCCTAAACCTCAAACCCGAGCCTTTGTTGCAGCCTGCAGGCAGTTGAAGAGGTGCTCCTCAACCAAAGAAGACCCAGGACATGTCCAATCACTAGACTCTTGTTAGCTGCGGTTTTGGGGTTTGGGGTTTGGGGTTTAGGATTTGGGGTTTGGGGTTTAGGGTTTATGCATGCATCCTTGCAGAAAGTTCCGAAGCAACTACTTGGGAACCGACTACATAACAGAAACGGAACTGGCAGCTCGTGGCCTAGCGTGCCTGCCTGTGGGCGAGCCTTTGAGCGTTAAAAGATCTCACGAGGGGACCAGGGTTTAGGGTTTAGGTTTTAGGGTTTAGGGTTTAGGGTTTAGGGGGTAGGGTTTATGGTATACAGCAGAGGATAATGAGGGCTTGTGGCTCAAACCAGGGCCCTCGTGCGAAATATGGCCCATGTCCTCAGTCACGATGGCATCGACACCATGCCTCGGGACTTGGACACTCACAAGGCCAGAGTACATGAGCATCATGAACCCTCTAAACCCTAAACCCTAAACCCTAAACCCTAAACCCTAAGTTCCTGGCTGCGCCGCCGCACTCAAGGCGCTGCAGGACGCGCACCACACGATCTGAGCTTCTTTGCACGGTGGGCGCAGGCGGAGGTCGGACAAGGCTCCAATCAGCACAAGCAACCGCGAGCACCCGAGCCATGCATGGATCTGCTAAAGTGAGCACCGCCCGAGCTCAGTGCCACATTCTCGGGGAACGCGGTCATGGCGGTTAGGATCTGAATTCTGCTGTAGCATGAGAATGGACAGTACCGAAACGACACAGGATCCCAAACGGCGGGTGCCGGGCCGCTTGGATGCAGGCGGCTCTGGTAACCATATTGGCATCCTCAAACTAAGTCTCTCGAGCGCCGCTCCTGCTGCCTAGTCCCTCAGCACTCTGCCCTGCCCGCCTCTGCGTCGATTTGAGAGTAAATATTGAAAAGGGCTCTGAGGGCAGCAACTTGCACCTCAGCATCTCTCCCACGTGCTTCGGGAGTTCTGCTACCGCTGCCCGAGGCCGCGACGGAGAAGGATTTTTGATTGTTGCGCATCTCGGTCACCTGAGCTGCTACCGGAACAGGAACTTTGGGGTTTGGGGTCCTGATGACCGAGCAAGAACGCAGCCTCAGAAACATGGAACTTCTTTCAGGTGTCTGAACTTAGGCCCCGAACGATGGCTGCTACGCCGTGTGAGAGGCCGGCCACCCACATCACCAATCCCTCAGTGGGATGCCATCGGACACCCATCTGCCACTGAGTCTCCACTCGTCCCTCACCCTAAACTCTCAACCAGGCTGCCTGCCAAGTCTCCAAGAACAATCTCCCACACAAAATTCGGGTAAGCCAGATGCAACTCTTCGAGAATGCGCTTCAACAGCTACAGGGCACTCCCAACTTCAACTGTCATTCCAGAGCACCTGGAGAGAGGTGTTGGACTCGTGGTCAACACTGACCTGCCAGCGGGCGACGCGCTCTGCGGCTTCGTTTCTCGGCCAAGAGGCAGCAGGGCCTTTGACAGCAAACTTGCTCCAGCGCCGGAGCCAGTTGCGGAAGAAAGGCCCTCACAGATCCTGGACAGCCATGCCCATACTCAGCTCGGGATGCACAGATCCTGGATCGCCAAGTCAAGCTGGGTCAAAGCGCACCTTGCCCGCACCATGGACTGGAGCCTGAAGGACGCCCCAAACCCCCGAAAAACCCGGAAGCCTTGACCCGAAAAACCCTGAACCCTAAACCCTAAAACCCTAAAACCCTAAAACCCTAAAACCCTAAAACCCTAAAACCCCTAAAACCCTAAAACCCCTAAAACCCCTAAAACCCCTAAAAAACCCAAAACCCTATAAAACCCTAAAACCCTAACACCCCAAAACCCTGAAAACCTAAAACCCTAAACCCCTAAAAAAGCCCTAAAAACCCTAAAACACCCCTATAAATCCCTAAAACCCTAAAACACTAAAACCCCAAAAACCCTAAACCCTAAACCCTAAACCCTTATCAGCTTGCCAGAGTGCATGAAGCGTCGTATCTTGGAGCCGGACCCCTGAGTCGACTCCAAGAACTCTGCGATGGCCTGGTACCGGGCTATTTAAGAAGTCTGTAAGAAATTCCAGTTTAGGGTTTAGGGCTTAGGGCTTAGGGTTTAGGGTTTAGGGTTTAGGGTCAGGGTTGCGGGTTTAGGGTTTAGGGTCTAGGGTCTAGGGTTTAGGGTTTTTTGGCTTAGGGTTTAGGGTTTAGGGTTTAGGGTAAGAAATCCAAGATGGCAATCAAGCTCCCTGTTTTTGGGGGAGGCGCACTGTATGAGGGATGCTGGATCACTATACAGGAAAGGCATCCTGATTCATAACGAGCCTCGAAAGCAGTCACCCAAGATAAAAAACCGCCGAAATCACTTCGGATATCCTTAAACCCTGAACCCGGAACCCTGAACCCTAAACCCTAAACCCTAAACCCTAAACCCCCAAAAGGCCTCCAGGACTTGTCGAAGGAGGCCGCTGTCACCAGCCTCTCTGGGCGTTCAGGGTTTAGGGTTTTGGCGTTTAGGGGTTAGGGTTTTAGCGTTTCGGGTTTATTTAGGGTTTAGTTTAGGGTTTGGTTGTCCTGGACCCATGGTCCAGGGGACACCTTCTAAAGACGTGTAGGGTTTAGGGTTAAGGGTTAAGGATTTAGGGTTTGGGGTCCACTCCCCACATCAAGCGCAAAGGGGGTACATTCGTGACTTCTGCCAGCGCAACGCACCAGAGGCAAACTCGACCCGAATGTCGAGCACATGCCCGAGCGCAGGACTTTTGCTTGGAGCAGCTCGACCAATACCGAGGCAGCAATAAGAGCCGCCTGAAAGCGGGCCGATCACGCGCTGTTGCATGAACATGTGGCAAAGCGCTGATCGGCTGCTTGCTGTCTGGAGCATGTAGGACAAGATACAGCTTCGCAACGCAATACATCTATGCATGATGCCGGGAATATATTCCCTCGTCTTGACGATGCTCTCCCCATTGCGCAGCATGCTCTGTGATAACTTTAGCACTCAGGCGGACATTCCCTGGTCTACACCCCAAACGCTTCCAAGTAAAACCCTACAAAGCCAAAAGCACTGAAGCCCTAACTGCACTCCTTGCTTCCCTTAAAGTGGCAGCCTCTCGAAGCGGCGCAATGCCCTGTGGCAGGGGGTGAGGATGAGGGCAGATTGATCCAGCATGGACCGTGCTGCTGTTAGACGGCTCAGGAACGGAGACTACACTACCATGGTGAGAACAATGAATTCTAGTATTTGCTGGCACGCTCACATTGTCATCTTAGGGGTAGCAGCTCGCGGGTGATCCCAACCCCGTGGAAAAGCTTTGCATTGTACCGTTCTGCAATGTGGGCTCGTAATGTCCAGTGAACGTACAAGTAGCACGGCCTGGTCTACGTAGCAATCTAGTCCAGCCCGGTAGCAGGCTCATGCCGAAGCAAACCTCACACGCTTCCCCATTCCCACGCCAATTCAAAGGTGGTCTTCATCCCAAACCTCTATCACAGATTTCTTAGTTGATGGTAGCCCGCTAGCAACCGTACGGTAAAGGAGCACCTCAATCCTCAAGAGCCCCAAAAAAAGAGATTCGCATGGGCTCCCATGATGCCATTCCCAAAGGCACCTCGTGCTGCGCAGCAAAGACTGCCGTGCGGGCGAGCACGAACGATGACTCTCGGAGGACCTCTGCGTCGGCCGCGAAGTTTCGCATGGTCTCGATGACGCTCTGAAGAACGTGCGTGGCATTCTCTGCCTCCGAGTCTGCCCCCTCTCCTTGGCCCCATGCCACGCCGCTCAAAGACCGCAGCGTCTGCTTCACCACATCGGCATTCCAGTTGCCCCGGAGAGTTCCGAGCAAGGATCCGATGCCATGGAGCTGCTGTACAGCCCAGAGTCCCCAGTACAGGACACGCCCGTCATTCTGGGACCGCTGCAAGACTTGCTCCAAGATGGCCCCTACACGACGGCTATGGATATCGCCGGACGCGCCTCCCTTACAGAGCTGAGCAATTAGACGAACACCCTCTTGTTGAAGCTCCAGATCCTGCCAGCTATCCTTTGAGGGTTGTGACTCAAGCACTTGCAGAAGCCAGTCCCAGCCATTAACCTGGAAGAAAGCCACACGGACTTCTGGAAGGTCACCGGCCAAATCTCCCAGCAGCTGGATCCCGAGAATCAACAGCTGTATTTCTGTTGGATGCGCGCGGAGCGCATCAATTATGACACGGGTCAGGGGCACCGCCGGGCAGCGCTCCACCTCATGCCAGCGCTTGCGGGCCGTGAGCCGCAGCGTTTGCAAAGCTGCCCTCGTCCCGGGCACGCTGGGTCGCAAATGCTCGAGGGCTTGTAGCAGTGCTGCGAGCCCATGAAGCTCATCCAGTACGGCCAAAGCCTCTGTCAGGAGGTTCTCTGTGCAAGGGTGTTTGGTCATGCTCTGAACCAACACCTGCACGACTCCGGCCCGTTGGATGAGGTCCTTGGTGGTTCCTTTGGAGTCCGCTACGACTGCTTTGAGAAAGCTCACACCGACCTGCTGCACTTGTGGGTCTGCAAGACCGCTTTGCATTTCGTCCAAGACATTGACGATTGCCAGCCCGACCACTTGTTCCAGGGCTTGTCGTAGGCGCACAACGGCGCGATTCACAACCGGCTCATGGGACCAATAGAAGTAGATGTCAGATACGCCTTTCAGGGCACGAAATAAGTCCACCACACCCTCGTCAGCTGGCTGACTCATGGCTCATGCACCGGCTAATTGAAATTTGTGCGAGGCCTCGGACGTAGGGTTACGGGGTTTAGGGTTGAGGCAAGGCTCCGGATTCAACCTGCGGTTACCAGATGTTGCGGCATTGGCCAGTGTCTTAAAACTGCCTGGGAAGGAATGAGCAGAGCTGATGCCTGGGCCATGTCAACACTTGCTCTGGGCCAAACGAAGCTTGAGCGATTCAGGTGGATCGGTCTGTCGGGGGCCAACAGAGCACTGAGACTGCAAAATCTCGTGACCAATTCACCGAGCATCGCGAGGGCCCTGTCTATTTTGGCGAGCTGCGCTAGGCACACTTTGCAACAACGAGACCTCCATTGGCCCCTAATATCTAATGAACCCAACAAGGACCATCATTTTGAGAACTGACCATGCGTATGACTAGGCGGCACAAACAGGGTCGTCAACGTTCTAAGACCATGCCGAAGATCTCGATCTCCGCAGGAGCTCGTAGCCAAAGGTGCATGCAGAGAAGCGGCGGCAATCTGATGCGCCACCACCCTGCACTCCGCCGGCCTGCAAAATGGGCCCTTTGTAACTATCTGACAGTTACTTCGTGGTGAGTAGGCAGTTTGACTAACACCAGCGTACCCAGAAGCATCCACCGTCATCACCACAGCCAACCCCTGAGCGCAGGCGTGCCGGCACAATAAAATCATGACCGCCGAGACAATAAATTTCCCAACCCGATACTAGCCCCAAATTAAATGCATCGTGATTCAAATGCTCCCGAAGCGTAACGCGACGAACTCCCCGATGTATACTCCCACGCAGAGACAGTTGAATCAGAGTTTGATTCCATGACCACACATCTGGCAATCAAAATTGTTTACTTCGATCATCCACACCCGAGACCAAGACGGGAACTGTAGGGATCAATTGGGCACTTCAGCGGTACTCTGCGGGTTGCGGTGCTGTGCACTCCTGGCGCACTATGCAGATTTCTGTGCAGGATTCTCTGGGGGGGTACTTCAGGGATACTTTGGCCATGTGCCAAGCATGCGAAAAGCAAACATGGAAACTCATGTTCGAGCAAATATTGGAGCAAACAGACCAGAAGGGCAGCTCTTTGGAATGAAGCTTCGTTACATTCAAGAGGATCCAAGAGTTTACAACTAAACGACTTTCTGTCTCAGGTCTCGAAAAGTCTGAGAAAGACGGAAACTTTGGCAGATGCTGGACATGCCCAATCTTCAAGAGGTGGGGGGCGTTTCCCACATTGGGGGGGGTACCTTATTGGGGCCCTTGTGGATTCCTACTCTTTGGGGATCTCTATTGGGGGTCCCCTATGTTCGTAAAACCCCATGAGGGCCATCCTGCGCTTGGGCCCAGTATTTTGAACGGAGGCGACATCAGCAATTTCATAGGCACAGAGGGTTCTATTGGCTGCGACTCTCCTTGGTCGACCTGTGACACTGTGACTTCACCACACACTTTGCTTCGAAAGGCTAAGGTGTCTAAACCTGTCATGGCGTTACTCTCGCTGGGCCCTGTCATTTCAACTACCATCTCCATTGGATCTCAAGCATGTACTGTGGATCATACACCCAATCCAGGTACGACAGCGCATGACCCAGTTGTAAGCGTGCTCCACTCCTGCTACTGTCTGACTACGCTGAGTGCAGTTGATGCGAAACGGTTGCAGCATGGCATGCGCAACAGTCGCTGACATGCAAATAAAGCCCATGTGCCGTGGTGCTGGGGAATCTTCACACCGAACAGCGGCCGATGATGCGCCATTCCTGTTTTCCACGCATGCTGTGGCCGAAGCAGGCAATGCAAATGTCGCGTGCCTGCGGAAGCATTAACGTCTGCAGTCTGCGATCTGCTTTCGCAGACGACACTGACAGAAAGGACATGAAAGTAAAAACCATGTGCCGTGGTGCTGGGGAATCTTCACACCGAACAGCGGCCGATGATGCGCCATTCCTGTTTTCCACGCATGCTGTGGCCGAAGCAGGCAATGCAAATGTCGCGTGCCTGCGGAAGCGGAAGCATTAACGTCTGCAGTCTGCGATCTGCTTTCGCAGACGACACTGACAGAAAGTCCTCAGATGTCATATTCATCATGTGAGGCCAGGCGAGCTGCTCACCGGCACGTGCACATGTCTCACTTCTTGTGGGACAGGCAACCCTTTCCTTCTTGTGAATGCCTGACTTCTTGTGTGAAGGCAAAACCTTAATGCCGAGGCCCTGAGGGCAGCACGTGGCCATGTGGACAAGAGCAACAAACATTGTGGCAGAATGCGAAGCGGCTAAACTCAGGAAGATGATGCCTTCCGAGAGAGGCGGCGTGAAAGCCTGGCGTGCTCAAACACACGAAGATGATGCCTTCCGGAGAGGTGTGACATGAGGGTGTGTCGTAGCATTCCTGGCATGCTTTCAACGTCGTCTCCCTCGTCTGCAGCTTGAAAGCCCCTTGGCAGCGTGTCGAGACACCAATGAGATGCAGACACTGCACAGACTGCCAGATACAAGCAGCCGGCATCGCTGGCCTCCTAGTAAGCTTAACATAATGGAGAGGCGGGCCAATGAAGACACCTGCTTTGAGAAGGCCGTTCACGCCACCCCAGTGGCTCTGCGCTTCAGGTCAGGTCAAGCCTTGACCAATCTTAAAATTCAAAAGGCGCAGAGCGCGATGGGACTGGCGGTGGGTGAGTCACGGAGAGTTGAGTTGAGCAAAGATTCAAAGGGCAAAGACTGGCATGTCAAAAAACCAACTTTCCGTACTGTGGCACTTTAGACTTGAGCGTGTCGCGCGCGTGCACCTGCATCCAAATTTGGGCACCCGTTTGGAGCAGTGTTCATGGGGGGCGAGTACCAGTCTCTCGCGGGACTGGTCGCAAACAACACGCCCGAAAGGGTACTTGGCAATTGCTGACGCATTTCGCATTGCTTTCAGCATTATTTGCAGACCGCGGCTGACGTCCCCAGACAACTGCGGAAGCGGCAGAAAACTGCGTATTCGGTGCACGACAGCAGACTGGAATCCTGGTCCCACTGCAGGCATTTCTGCGGATGCTGCAGCGCATGGCTTGAGGCCCCTAGAGGTGAGTCAGGCCATGAGATGGAAACCTCGAGGGCAGTAGGCAATACGGCAAGAGGCCAACAAAGAGCTTTGCTGTACAAAGCATGGCACTGCCTTCTTGCCTGCTAGCTCCAGGCACTTTCAGATTCGGAATTAGAAGGTCGCAGGCGCGTGGTGTGTAGAGGAACGGCAGCGAGTTCTCTGGAACGGTTTGGATGGCTTGGACGATTGCCTGTCGATCCCCAACATGTTAGGATATGTTAGGACTAGGGGGGGTGGAAAATGGAGCTGGCAATGCCTGATGTCCCTCGGGGCTGTCAGAGCTACTAAACTCCGCCACTCCCACGTCGCACATGGCCAGGAAACTTGGCCAACGTCAGGATGCACAGTCCAAGAAAGAAATTGGATTTCCATTCATCAAGGGTCCTGCTAGCCATTTAACCTGAGTCTTAAGACCAACCAGCCAAACCCATAAATGGAGATGGATATTGGCACGTCAGTACCCGAGACCCTGCCTTCCTCCATTTACAAAAGTGGGGGATGCGCCACCGTTGGGCATCATTCTGTCATTGCGCCCTCGTCCCACCACCCACCAAACACCCCGCTAGTCCTCGATAGTCCTTTGTAATGTTTTGCGTTCCCGCAGCCTCGCATCTGGGCGGCCTCAAATGCGGAAGGCGGGGTCGTGGCCTGGTATAAAGCGGAGTCTGCTGCATTCAGCCAGTGCTAGGAATCACCAGCTTGCCTGATGCGGTCCAACACAGCTGCATCTAGACAAACATTGCCTTTCCATGTCATGCACTGCCTGCCACTGCTGCCCAACTATGCCCTACTGCCGTGCTGCAGCAGAGTCCCGCACTAGGTCGAGGCAGATTCATCAGCATGAGCGTGTATATGAGGCGAAGGGCCCGACAGGAATCTTGGAACCATAGCTGCAGTGGCTTGGCAACGCCTAGGCAAACAGAGGTGATGAGTCATGCAACAGGTAGCAAATCAGCGAAACGCTTCATTACACGAAGCACTGCACGGTCGCGATGCCAGTGAGGAATCCGATCTGTGCTGCATGCAGCCCGTGCTAGGAGTCACCAGCTCGTCTAATGCGATGAAACAGAATTGCATGGAGACACATGTTGCACTTCCGTGTCATGTACGGCCTGCCACTGCTGCCCAACCGTGTGCTGCTACCCTTCTGAAGCAGACTCCCGCTCCAGACCGAGGTAGATTCATCGTCAGGCCCCAGAGGAATCTTGGAACCACAGCTGCTGTGGCTGGGCAACACCGGAGCCAACGGAGGTGATGAGTCAGGCAGCAGGCAACAAATCAACGAAGCGCTTCATTACCTCAAGCACGGCACGGTCGCGACGCCAGTGACTGATTTGTGCTGCTGCATTCAGCCAGTGCTAGGAATCACCAGCTTGCCTGATGCGGTCCAACACAGCTGCATCTAGACAAACATTGCCTTTCCATGTCATGCACTGCCTGCCACTGCTGCCCAACTATGCCCTACTGCCGTGCTGCAGCAGAGTCCTGCACTAGGTCGAGGCAGATTCATCAGCATGAGCGTGTATATGAGGCGAAGGGCCCGACAGGAATCTTGGAACCATAGCTGCAGTGGCTTGGCAACGCCTAGGCAAACAGAGGTGATGAGTCATGCAACAGGTAGCAAATCAGCGAAACGCTTCATTACACGAAGCACTGCACGGTCGCGATGCCAGTGAGGAATCCGATCTGTGCTGCATGCAGCCCGTGCTAGGAGTCACCAGCTCGTCTAATGTGATGAAACAGAATTGCATGGAGACACATGTTGCACTTCCGTGTCATGTACGGCCTGCCACTGCTGCCCAACCGTGTGCTGCTACCCTTCTGAAGCAGACTCCCGCTCCAGACCGAGGTAGATTCATCGTCAGGCCCCAGAGGAATCTTGGAACCACAGCTGCTGTGGCTG